CCTAGACTTAAAACCGTTTTATATTTAGATGACTGAACTTACTTAAAGAGGTCTTTGTCGTCCATATTTTACAGTCGTAAAGGCGACCACGGGTTAATTACAATTCTTAGAAACATTTCACGCCTGTTATGGTTAATCTCTTAATTATTGATGTATTCATATTTATAGGCTATGTACTATGTTGAATATGGCGGCTGGTATAAGATAGCCAATCAAAACATTATAATTTTTTAGCAGAGTTATTGTTCTTGGGGCATACGATGTTGATTTAAATATTACCCCCCTGATAAAATTACATGATTTATATTACATTATTAAAATTCAAGTCCCTTATTCATTACTGACAAAGTCAGGCTAAATTCAAATTGCATGTGTATGCCCTAAATGAGAACTACAACGCATGGATAGTTTCAGAAATCATTTCGTTAATTCCATTTAATTATTATTTTTGACATATTATACCTAATCGCTAGAAAAGAAACCTAAATCAAAATGTGAATTAATGTGCACGGAAATTTTGTTGACTAGTGATGCACATGACTGAACTTTCTCGGTTATTGGACTGATGACTTTAACTTTTGTGTGTTTGATTTGATCCAGCCCCATTTTATAGCCAAAGCCATTCGCTCAGGTGTTTCGAGATACCTGGAATGCCCCCAACCCTACCAAAAAAAAAACTACTAAAAGCTGTGAAACTTTGTGTTGATTTTGGATTTTTGCGTAACCTATGGGATGGTACCCAATTTGGTCACGACGCCCTAGGGCAGGTGTTGTCCGACCTTTTAAACAGGAGGCCTGTTCACTGATCCAAGACATTGCTATGGGAGCGGACATTTTTATTATTTTTTTTTTAAAGGAGCGAATTCCTATACTCATATACTATTTATATTGGGGTGGGGTAAATGGGAAAACAATACAATATTTAAAATGAAGAATAAATTTAATCAACATAAAGCTATTAGTATTTCAATTGGAAGCATGGTCCTGCATCAATGATCAACGTTCTCGTCCCCATCGGTGAGGGGGGGGGGGTGGGGTTCGGGGAAGGGATGCGACTAAAATCTTGTATCAGCACACTCGGCAAATACCTGGACGGGGCAAAAGCAGAACCGGGCCCGGGTGTTAAAAATTAGTTATCTTCTCATTTTCTATAAAAATGAAAACTGCTACCAACCAACACTAACATATAAAATATAGCGAAGCAAAGCTTAATAATTTATTTTTGTTATGCTTATGGGTTACAGCAGTGGTTGTCTGTCTATGAGTCGCAACTCCCACGGAATCACCTGACCAAATGAAAGGGGTCGATAAAAATTTCAGAAATTTGAGGTGTGTGTGGGGGGGGTGTAAAATTTGCATTTTTTTCCTTATTTGAATTGTCATTTTTAGCCTAAACTTAAAGTTGGCTGCTTCCACGAGAAAATTTAACCAGGTGTGTAAATTTAGCAAAATTTTTCTGGGGACTGACTTACAGAGCCCTCTCCACAGAACCATCCACCCTTCATATTAAAGCCCTTATTTCTGCTTCCTTCCAACCCCGAACAAAATTACAGTAACCACACCTTTTATAAACCGGTACAAAAAAAGCTCTCACCCAACCCTACGCAACGTCTGTTTATAAGGAAATAAAAATTCTGTATGTGAGTCGTCACAGTTTGACAAATGCTATAAGGGGGTCACGGCACTATAAGTTTAAAATCGCTGTTAATGATTATATTATAAAGCTATTAGTAGGACTGTTAGGAAGAATTTAAATTTGATGCCTTCTTGATCGCTACTGGCTCTATACATAAAGTTTTCACATCTCCCCATGGAAAACTGAATAGAAAATGAGAAGGTAACTCTTTTTTTTTGTAACACCCGATGACCACCGGTTAATTTCTCAAAATACTCGGACCCGGACCGTATGTAAAAAACTGCATCAGGCACTATTATAAAGGGACTAAAATTTTGTGGATCAAAATTAATGATAAGAGGTAAAAAAAGTGCGATTTTGCCTTTTTTAAACGAATATCTGCAATATATTTGCAATAATTGAGCAAAAACAAAAATTTGGTGGCCAAGACGTGTCAATTCTGTTAATTTTACTATACCGCTACCTTACTGCACTAATTATATTTAACCATGTTGTGATAAGACCGCAGATTGTTCTAAATATAAACTCAATGAATTCATGTCTTGAGGACTAACATCTTTATTGGTTCGATCAGCGTTGTATTAACAGAAATGGAAGAAGAAAAAGGATCCTAGGAGAAATTGTAAGAAAGAGGTGTAAGAAAAAGGACGCGTCGTAAGAAAAAACAGTAAGAAAAGGGATCTGAAGAAAATACTTAAGAAAAGAGTACGAAAAGGCGTAAGAAAAAGGACAATAGAAAGTGTCCAAATGGGCCGATGAACAATGGCAGACTTTATTTATTTTTATTTTTTTTTTTATGGCGCACTTAAGGGATGCGATTAAAACTTTGAATGCCGAAACATATTGGCGCGCTTATACTTTTATATTTATATAAGTTAAATGGTCTTTCAAAATATTTTAAATAGAAGGTGTTGAAACCCCATGGATGAATGTGAAACCCCCCTTCATTATTTAATATTGCAATGTCCTTTAAAGATGTAGACTTGCAAATACATTAAGGTTTAGAGAATAAAATTCCCTCTCCGACAAGAAATTAAGACATACCCTAGGGTCCCTAGAACAGTGTTTCTTTCAGATCCCCGGGGGGCATTTCAAATTTTCGGGGGGGGGGTGGGGCTGTGCCATTTGCCAGTGACCAGAGGCGTATCTAAAGGGTGGCAGATGAGGCATATGTCCCGGGGTGCCAGACCAGCCGGGGGGGGCAAATGGGCTTTGATGGTATTTAATGGTGGAAAATAATCAGTTTCAGAGTTGAGAGGGGGCATGAAAATTAATCTTGTCCCCTAAAAACACTGTAGGTACGCTCCTGCTAGTGTCGTCAAAATAGGGCGCATGGGGTGGTCTACCCAGGTGTCACTTTTTCTTTATATGCAGCAAAGCCGTTCTTAGGATTTTGAGGGCCCTAGGCATGGAGTGCAAGTAGGGGGGCCCGGAAAGTGGAAAAAATATCATCCACCATTGCGACACCCCCACTTTGCCTTCGTTACTGTTTCCTCTTTGCTCGCGTGTAACCACTAACTATATTGATAATTCAGCTACTAGAGAAAAAATTGTACTTCTGAAATATATGGACTTGCAAGTTGTAGGCTAAAAAAAGTGCCAGATGGAACCTCCTTTGCAGTGAGGCCCTAGAAGGTCGCCTACTTTTTCTATGCCTAAGAACGGTTCTGCATGCAGGTGTGGCATTTTCGAACAACTGCAGAGTTTGTATCGTGAAAGGGATGACGGCAAAAATAGTTGCCCACCGATGGCGGCACTAATAATAATAGCCACTACGCAGTGTATCTATCAATACCAAAAATCGGCGATCATTTTCATTGGGAAGTAACGCGGAAATTGAGGGTTCCGATGAATCTTGATCGGTGGAGGGTCTGGTGAGCCTGCTTCCCAGAAAATTTTTGATTATTTCACAATAAATAGTATCTTTGAGTATACTTGAATTCAATGTTGTTATTATAATTTTTGAACGGGGAAAGACATTTTTAAGGTTTTATGGGAGGCATTATGGCACCCAGTGCCATACATGAACTGAATTCACTACGTTTGTGGCGTGCCCCAGAGTAAGCATTTGGCACAAGCTTATAATTACCTCAGACTGTACCATTGATCAGCGTGAGTGAAAGGGGTGAAGAAATGTAGGTTGTTAAAGGCAGTCGGACAAACTTAAAATGCAGGGGTGCATTTTGGCTCATATTTGAATTTGTTGTTTCTTCCAGAAAATTTTGAGGTTGCATTTTAAACTTTCGGATGGGAAGTGCCTAAATTAGCCATCATAATGATCAAAGACATCTAAAATTCCGCACCAGTGAGACGTAAACTAAATTCATTCTAGTTGTGTCACCCTTGAGGGTACGCTTTTGTCCTAGATTATTATCACCCCTTAAATCTTTATAGTCCCCAGAATATTTTGCTAAATTAAAAATACAAGAATGCATTTAATCACATATTTGAATTTAGTTTTGCAACATTCTACACTTAATTGAAGAGCAACGGAAGAGATGTTAGTTTAAAAATGTGGGTGTCACTTACCTTAGAACCATGGTGTGCGCTCAGCCATGACCTACGAGAACTCTAGTGGGTCTTGGCCCAGCAACCCCTGCACCTACGATGCAGGGTTCCTCGGATATTTTAGAGGTTTAAAGATGTGATGGGGATATTTTCTTAATTATCATCTTTCAACAAAAAAAAGTGTGTGGGGGGGGGGTTGCAAAACGGAAAAGGTGCTTGACTTGCTTGTGTTATGCACACACACACAAAATTATATAGCTAAAATTGTGTCCATGATTTGGGCCATTCCCATGTCAGCCATATTTTGTTACAAATATTGATTAGGGGACTCATCATTGCTTCTCCTCCTTGTTTCACCAACTCGGCAGGGATATTTTCTACTCCTGCGGCATTTCCTAGTTAAGTGATCTAAAAATAGTAATTTGAAGCACGCTTATTCAATACTATTTATTTGTGTCAAAATTTACAAAACTCTAAACATTCTACGCCATCTAAAAATTTCACGGATCAGCACATGGCAAGGGAAAAAAAAGAAGGAAATTTTAACACTGCCCTAAAAGTAAAAAAATAATATGTGTGATTGAAACAAAGTAACACCGTAGGCGCAGAGTCTTATTCATTGCGATACCGTGATACGGTTTTACGCTATTTGAATGGTATGGAATTAAGATTCATTATTAAATATTATAATTCATTTTTAAATACACAAATAAGAGATTCAATGAATGAATTTGCATTTACTTGGTTTTTTTTTTCAAAATGTATTACCTTGCTGAGAAGTTTGAAACGTGTGAAAATATAGACATGTGTAATTAACGATACTGTAACTGTAGACTCAAATAATTGCCAGTTATGCCAACAAGTTCCGTGTGGTACCTTTTAATATAGTCCAATGGTCAAGTTGAGTTCATCTAAATCTAACGAAGGAGAACAAGTTAACTCGACGACAGGTAGAAATCGTGCACATTCAAATTAAATTATCACATTCAGTGCACTATTTGGCATAATAGTTAGACAGTTAGATTATTGGTCCATAAATTGATGCGCTTAATGACTCAATTTGACTTAGACTTACCATTTTATTTTGTACTATATTTTACTTTAAAAATAAACGTTTTTTTTTTAAAACTTAACTTCTTAGACTTAGTAGAGTAAGTGAAGTAGTTTTAACAAATTTTTAAAATGCGATGTAGGCCTATTTATTATTAGTTTTTTTTCTTTTCTACATTACAGTTCAAATGCCAGCATCTAAAGGTTGCGATAATTTTTCCACATCAAGGTCTATATCAACAATGGTTGCTCACCTTTCTGCCTTGCTTTTCCCCATCATCATTATATATAGTGCAGTTCCGGGATCAAGTAAGTCAAGCAATTTTTCAATAACCAGTGTAATATATTATTATAGTCTATAGTTATTTATCTGCAATGAATTTGGGGAAATAGGCTAAGGGCAAGGGGCAATCCATAATTAAATGATATGCAATTTTTGCCCCTCCCCCACCCCCTATAAAACATCACAAACCTCTGCAATCCCCCACCAACCTAAAAATCCATCTGCCCACTACTGTCCTTTACAAACCCTTTAAAAAAAATCCTCTCCAATATATATTGAATTGCTGCACCTGGCTGCTTCATAAACATTTCCTTTGAACAGTGGTTCAAAAACAGGGGAGAAAGCGCCCCATGTGGTGCAAAGAATTTCCTTTGCTACCATTGCTAGTTGTCCCTGCCTTTAAAAATAAAATCAGTTTTATACATTTGATTAGCACAGTAAATGTTTTTTCTGGTAAATTCTTCTTGCACATTACTTATATTGGTAATTTTTGTTTCTTGTTTCTAGAAAGTTTAAGAAATAAAATGACAAAAACTAAATTATTTAATCATTTTCATTTTTTAAATTTTATTTCAATATAATTTATAAGGGGGATCCTCCAGCCCCAGTATAAATTATATTGCAATAAAATGTGGAAAATGTTTAGAAATTGAGAGGGGTTAGAGCACTGCAAAAAGGTTAAGAATCCCTGCCCTAGAAAATTTATGAAGATTTTTTTCAAGAATGTTCTACTTTTAATTTGACGTCACATTGCTTAAAACCCCTTCCTCCCTCTCATCACACATGATCGCAAAATTTCATTTCTCTCTTCCCCCCCACCCCTTTTTAGAAGCCTCTTTAGAAGCCTGACATCATTTATAGATGGCCCCTAATTTCATGTAGAATCTAATTGTTTTTTAATTTATCTAAGTTCTTTGTTAAATTTTATTTTATAGGTCTCTTTTCATGGCATCCGACTCTGATGGCTTTAGGGGTAAGAATACAGGCCCTTATACTGACATTGATTATGCGTGTTGAAAATAATTTTATTTATGAACTAAAGTATTAAATAAAAATGTAACCATGGGTAAGATTTAAGATGGTATTTATGACTTTTTTCCCATTTCAGTTCTTAAATTTTAAGTCATGTCTAAGCTGTGTTTGTTAGATTCATGATTACTTACTCAGTTACTGAGCTATAATTAATAATATAAATAATATATAAATAGTAATATTTAAGTAAATTTTGATGAATCTTCAATTTTTCTGGTCTAAAAAATGAGAATTAATGAGACACAATAAGTGTAAATAAAACAATATAGGTTATGTTTTAATAATGGTTACACAGAATACAAATGCAAATGTTTTGGCAAATGCCTTCATCAGTACAAAAAACAAACAAAAAGACAAAAATTCATAAAAGTATAAATGAAATTTACATTATATATAATATATATATATATTTATCCTACCTAAAAATGACAGAAAAGAAAAAGAATAGGCACAAGTCCCTGACAAAAACAATATGTTATAGTTCTAGGTAATATATGCCATTTAAGGGGATACATAATATATATATCTATAATAAAAATTAGAAAAGTTCCTTCCTTGAATTAAAAAACCTTAGTATATGAAAAACTATAATTCATTTCCTATTTAATGTCTATTCATTTCAATAACTTATATAAGTATCCCTTTTAAAAAAAAGTTACATGTGCTTCTGTCTTCTTATTACAGATAAAATCTTGTATCATTACCCAATAGGTCAAGTTTTATTATTAATTTTTTTTTATTGCATATGTTTTTCAGTGTTCCTTATTGATGTTAGAGGGCATTGTTATCTTCTCTAAAAGCTCATCTCTTTTTCCCAGTCTCACTCGGCCTTGGAAGGCATCAATCCACTATTGGCTAATGGGTAGTGGTGTAAGCTTTACTATTGCGGGTTAGTAATCTCTAGTTTTAATAAACAGTTTTTGAGCCGCAAGGCTTTTTGGAAGCAGAGATGATTGCCATTAATGTAGCATTATACCGACTGTCCATAATTATCACAGCATAACCGACAAAACAAAGAAAGGTTGTCACCTTCTCTGATTAAAAATAAATGATTCAGGTAACTGAACACCAAGATCTTACAACACTTTAAACTAGTTTTAAAAAAACAACTCTTTCTTGAAACCTATGCAGTTCAATTAAAGCAGCCAAGCTAACCTTGCAGTTGATACCAGAATCTGTATACAGTGAAATTAGAGACCAGGTGCACTAACATATCAGGATACATTCCATGAACAGCCAAACATACCTACATCATAGTCAAGCTGATTAGAGCTAAAAGAAAAGAAAAATATTTAAATGGATGGCCTATGAGCTCAATAGGAAGATTTTTGTTTATGCCTATTCCTAGTCCCAATTCTAAAGACCCTATTAGGTGCCTCCAAAGATAGGAGGTGGTCATAATCTTCTGCCTGCACACAGTACACATCCAACTAATGTCACAACTCAATTGCATTAAATCCAGAACACCAACATGCCCCCTCAGTAAACATAAAAATGAGACAGTAAACACAATTTTCACAGCCCAGCAATCCAGGACTTTCATCTTATACACCAAAATTATCAGTATTACACCTTGTCGGCAGACAAATACAAACTGAAGATGACCTGCACATTTTTTACTATGACATTAAGCTGAAGGGCACATGACCATATGGCTTCTAGTTTAAGAGATATGATGCTGAATATTTGCTTTTATCCGTTATTTGGTCTCACTTTGTATAAGCAGATATACTTTAAGTATAAATGTAATTTCGATGAAAATATAGCTTATAATGCTTAACAGTTTTATTTTTAATTAATCTGTCTGCGAGCAAATGTAACTAGTAATTATGATATTGAAAATTTTACTTTGGCAGGCTTGGTTATAATCTATTTGAACAAAGAGCAAGCTGGCAAGTCCCACTTTACCTCATGGCATGGACTTTTTGGTGTTATAACAGTTGGCTATGCCTGTGCTCAGTCCACAGGAGGAGCCTTAGCCAAATACTACAAATATGTTGGTGGTATTATCAAAGTGCGTTTATTATTATTTTATTTTAAAAATGTTTGGCATAAAATAATATTTTAAAATAAATAGCCCACATGCCTAAAACTTGCATGTGTTAACTGCCATAACAATAAAGAATTTATGATTATAAATAGGGCTGTAAAATATTTTATAATTCTTCCCCAATGCCCATCAATAATTATTGAAACCAAATTGCCAAACTACATCAATACTAATTTACCTATGTTCCCAGCCCTAATTATAATATACATCTAATAAATCTTATAACTATGGCTTTAGCTATTAAACAAAAGAAATAGTTGTCGTCAGTTTTTGGCTTCATTAAAATTTCATTGTAACATAAAAATTATTTGTATTAATTGATTTATTTAACTTAAAGAGCAAATAATTTTTCATGCATGTCTTTTCTTCTTTTTTATTTTTAGATTCGGCTTGCAGATTTGAAATTATATCATGCAACATCAGGTTTACTGGCATACCTTTTGATCACTGTAACTCTGATATTGTCCTTGCAGTCCAACTGGGCAGTCAGCAGTATTAATTGGGCCTTGTGGTATGCATGTTTTGCATGTGTCTGTGCATCTGCATTGGTAGTCATGACCCATATTACTACAACTTTCATGCCTGGACAACAAAATAAACCTTAACTTAGTTAAGACTTTGTATGTCTGTTCGCCCTTTTATACTTGAAACTTTTTTGCAGAATTATGTCATTATTTTATAATAATTTTATATTGTGATCTTCCAATTTATCCATAATAATTGAACTTACACTTGTTTTGTTTTTGTCATAAATTCATTATCACTTTTGATGATATTATATTGATTTTTTTTTTTTCATTTAAAGATTTACTTTATACTTTTGATTAGAGAAAGTTTATGTGTGAAGAATGTATTGTTTGTATTGCAAGATAAGTAAAAATCATTGTCAGTAAATTGCTTATTAAATAAATATGTTTTTCATTTGGTATGTAACTTTTCATGTGGGAATGAACTGCAGAACCCCACACCAACTTATATGCTCGCATCAGACTTGGGTGGGATTTTTTTCTGGATATCCTGGTCCCTATTGTTAACAGCTACCGGTACCTTTCCTGAGATGCTGTCCATTGCATTTGCTAGTCACACTTAGTAGATCAAGAGCGGAGATACATGCAAACCTGCTTTCTCCTGGTTAGAAGGCAAAATTGCTGGCAATTTGCGACAGGTGCACCTCACTCAAAGATATATATTAAAAAATTGTTCATTATTTCATCATTTGATAGTAAAATCATTAGAACTCGTTAATTTTTTTAAATTGAAATAATCACGTAGGTACTAAATTAGCACTGACGTTTTTTCTCTACCGCTTTACTGTATATTTATTATTACTAAAATTTTGATCAAACCATTTGATTTGATAACTCTTAAAAGTTTATTTTAAGTTGAGCTCTCAATTACCCAGGCTGCCTGAAGAATGAAGGATTTTAGATAACTCTGTAAGAATATTTACAATTTTACATGGTTTACTGTATTGTTCAGAGTCTATCCTGTTCTTTCTCCCCCTACTATGTAAGAGCTGCAGCATACAATAGGGACGTTGCAACAACAAACATTTTTTTTAATGAAATGTTTTTTTAATAGGACCAAATTTTAAGGGTGCGGCTTATAATGTGGAGCAGCCTAAGCTTGGAACAATACTGTAATTATAATAAATTTGTTTTATAAGTCTTGATTTACAATAAAATTGCAATATTATTTAATATTTGTGACTTTATGTTAAGAAGGTATTATACTAATCATCTTTTGATAATATATTCTTTTAAATATACATTTCTCAAATTCTTAAATTTTAAAAACTTGATGAATAAAAAAATTCAAAAATGATAGTCCTCTGTAGAGTATAATTAGGGTCCTGTAGAGTAGAGCTGAGTACAGAAGATTTGTTTGGGGTGTTGATTAGTGCAGTAGAATTGATTATGTTCCAGATTATCCATCTTAAACTGGAGTGTGGGAAAGTTTGATAACTGAATATGGTGTGTTTTCCCGAACTGCATGGAAAGAAATTAAATTCTATATTTTTTAATGGTTTAGAACAATAGAAAAAGCAACATATTTCATACACATTATCTTAACTTGTCACGCTGCCGATTTTTTTTCTAAACACAAGTTCACTCTTTGATATTAAAATTTAGTTATGTTATACTATTCTGTAAATTAGGAGATCAGCAAACTATTTAAAATTAGTTGAATAAGAAACCATCTTTAAAAAATATTAATTTTGAGCTGTTTATAAAATATTATATTTATTTATAGGTATAAATAATGAAAATCAGGGCAGAAAAACAATTATTTTATGTACCATTTCAGCAATGAAACAAAATTGGTACCGATACTGGTAATCTTTGAATATGCTTAAAATGGTGCCTTAAGTAAATATGATTCAAGAAGATAAAAAGAAGTGGGGTGGGGGAAGTGGTCAAAGAGCCAAAAAATGCATACCAATACAACTCAAGATACATTTTACAGAAAAAAAACCTCAAATAACCTGACATCAATTACCGATATATCATAAATTACCCTGAAGTTTGATTATCTGTAACCGTTTCTTGTGATACATCAAAGGGAGGTAACAATTACATATTGACAAGAACATAAATAAAAAATCACACATATTGGATGTTCTGGATTTATCTTTAAAAAGGGATTCTACCATTATTATTTAAATAAAAACTGCTTTAATTTATGTCATTTGGTATGTCATAGAATATTTGGGTATTGTGCATAATCTGGACCACTCTTAACATAATCATTCTGGATAGTCTAATTTCCACTGTGCCAGCAATAGGGCCTGAATAAGCCCTTTGAGGACCCTGGAAAAAGGTCTCAGAAAACTTAAAATAATAACACTGCCTGAACCCCTGGAGGAATAAAAATTGTGTATTTGTATATGCAAACCATTTTATAATTATCCAAAATATGAAAGAGGCTACTGTTGACAACATGCTATTTCAAAACACTAATAGGGGTGTAACATTTAAAAATTTTCAACATTTGTCTAGTATAAAAACTCAGGTTTTTAAATTTTTTTGTTACTAATTTGGTTGGTTATACCTGTAAAATGGGGTCTTTATGATATTGCATAGGATTGTTACTGTAGTTATTTGATAAAATTTTAAATAAGAAATAGAAGTAGTTTTGTATAGGCCTATTGGCACTGCTTTCAATGTCACCCAGTGCTAATGATTAATCTTATGCTTGTAAGCCAGTCACTCTCAAAAGAAAACTTTATCCTCTGGTGTATTATACTTATAATATATCTGTTCTAATCACTGCTCAGTTTTGGTGGTACAATTGTAACATGTTTTTAATAGTTCTTTTTTTTATTGATAAGTAGGCTTAAATAAAATAAAGGCCATTACATATATCAAGTAAGAAATAAATCATCATGAGCTTTATTGGATAATCAGTGTTTTTCCTTTCTTTTAGAATTTTTTTAGTTTAACTTTAAAAAATAATGTTATCCAAGGAATAAAGGCTATGCCTTTCTTATGGACTGGTCTGGAAACTATTATTTTTGTTATATCCCTTACTTATAACAGCGTTTCCCAGATGGCGCTTGTGGTCCTCTGGAGTTGTGTTTACGATGGGGATAGACATCATGTGAAATTCTGAAATAACAATGGAATTTAATGAATTGATTGCAGAATTACGGGCTGCCTCTGAAAATCTTCCTAATGATTCAGCAGACAGGAGTCTTCTGTCATCGCTTTATTGTAATAAGGCATGCAAAGTAAGTCGCAACTCGATTGTAAGCAGTGTGATTCTCTGACTGGACTGGATGAGGTCGTCAAATGAAAAGCTGAATATCGCCGACATGGCGTTTGTGCAGAAATGCACGCACGTATTTCGTTATTTAAAACAAGGAAAATTACATTCTGAATTTCTATAATATTAATATATTTAAATAAATAAATAAAGAGACCGTACATTATTTTGAGTAGAAAGTTGAATTGCAATTAACGTGAGTTAGCGTTTCCTTGGTAGGACATGAGGTGGAGGGTTCATAATCAAATCAGGCCCTACTTATTAAACACTAACAACCTTTCCTCCAACTACTACTACATCATGTAGTAATAATGTAAACTATGAATTTTACTTTATTATTATAATTAGGCTTGTGTATGTTGTAACTTAACAAGAGGAATGCATTGTTATTTGGTAAAAGAAAGATGTTATACTAAAGTTAAGTAATTAAATAGTGTTAACTGCCTTTTTACTTGATTAAGGTACTAAATTAGGGCTTAGTTACAGTAGTTAGTTAGACTTAAAATTATATTAGTCACTTATTAGTGTCAGCCAAGACATATAAAGGTGACCATTTTTCAAATAAACCAGGACTTTGTACAATTTAAAATTGCTTTTGGTGCCATGGGTATCCAAAACTAAAGACTAAAGGTAAACACTGAGCACTTGTATGTCTGATTGTGATTCACAGTTCAGTGTGATGCTAATTTAATGAATTATAATTTTTTTAAATTTAAATGAAATTTTTAACAATTTTGCCCTGGATATGAGTATGAAATTAAGGCCTACTCCACATCTTTTATTAAATTTGATAGAGCAATTTTAGTCCATACTTGTTACATCTCACAACTAACTTAACCAGGTTTACTTGTTACATCTCACAACTAACTTAACCAGGACAAATCATCCAATGTCAAAAACAAAAACAATAGGCAACTCCACTAACTTACTACTAGTACCACTGTTTAACTCGTAAAAACAGTAGGAATGGTCACCTTACTTATACACCTTTTAAAGACAAGTATTCTAAATCTCCACAATTTTTATGGACAACCAAACATTTTAAGAATTCAATTTTAAAATAAACTGATTAATTCAAACTATACTATAATGCTTTAAAAATTTTCAAATATCACTATGATTCTATTTCTATGATTCTATGTTACTATGTTAGTATTTATGATTATTTCAAATATGCACATATATTTCTATTATGTCATATGAACATGAGACATGAAACTGTAAGTAGGCCTTTTAGTGTAAGCATATATATTAGGCATATTGTTCAAATGATTCAAAGGACACGTAAGTTATAAAACAAATATATTACCAATAGAAAGTAATCAATATTTTTAAATCCATGAATCTCAACTGTCATCTAGTAAATGGTAGCTTTAATTTGTATCTTTTTAAAAATATATTGTGATAGAAGATATATAATTATATAAATAATATGTCTGAACAATAATTTTGCGCCATTTATTCAGAAAGGGCTCTTCTTTCATTAAAATAAAAAAATTATTTTTAAACATTTTAAAATGCGACAAAATAAGCTCCCTCCATTTTTTAATGAAGAAAACTTATAAAGTATTTGATCTAAACATGGCTACAGGAGTGTTTACTATCCCTAAAAATGGGGATATATTACTTTGAACATAAACTACAAACATTTAAAATGATATTCAAGGGATGAAAATAAATAATAATAATGCTAGATTTTATTATATTAACTGGATTTAATGGCAATAAGTAATTCCCTATATATGCAGTCATATGATTGCTTATTAAAAGTTGTATAATAAATTTAAGTTGTACATAAAGAGTAGTCTTTCCTTTGGCTCTAATCAGAAAGTGTAGTATAATTAAGAAGGTATAGTATAGTATAATGTTGTCTCGTTTGGAAGGGATTTTGTATTATATAAAACTTACGTGTGTTGAGTTGAATGCACTTTGCATTCTATTTTAATTCATAGATGCTAGAATGATTTAAATGCTAAAAAAATAAAGTATCAGTCCTTTTGAATTTCTTAGTTTGATTTGATGTAAGATGGTTAGAGATATAACCAAATTCTTACCAGAAAATAAGTATGACAGGGACTTTAAAATAATTGGTTAAGTCACTTCATGCTACCATATTGAAGTTTTCATTACTTGGAAAAAACGTATTGTTCTTATGGGGTCTTCATCGTGTAAAAATTGACCATGACACATCAAAAATAAAAAAATAGCGATGAACCAGTGTAAAAATATGATAGCAACCAAGAGACTTGCTTGTAATTTATGTAATGGCACAAAATTGATATAAAAATTATTTTAAAAATCCAAGATTTTATTTGAACCATCTAGATTTATCTCTAACATCTGTTTAGAAAATATTTTGATGAATTCAAAATTCAGGAATGCAATTTGTATACCTGATTTTAATTTTGTATTTTTATACACTCTATCTGAGAGCAACAAAGAGATGCTAGTGGAAAGGTGCTAGGTCTCCCTTGACCTGTTTGTTTTTATACTAATCCTTCTATTTTTAGTTTTTACTAATGTTGTTTTATTTTATAATTTTTTATTAAAGATTTGATATTGCTAATTTTAAATTAAGCTTTAAAAACAAGTTCAGCCCAAAATGGTGCATACTGTCAAAAAAAAGCACTGCGAATCAGCCTAATAAGACAACCCAGTCCCCTAAATATCCAACTGTCCTTCCCATTCATGCCTGGACATTTAAGGACATAGAATAAACTGCCTTTGACCATGTTGGGTTTGCTTAACAGAATGATAGTCCCTATACTCGCTTGTGGTGATTGGATGGACATCTTCTAATGATAAAGAATACCCCTTCTTACATCCCTAACTGTCCATTGATGTTTGCATTGACTTATTACAATAAAATGATAGCTCACCACTGAGCTTGCCTTTTAATCTTCCCCCTTAGCCTGGCTTGCTCTTACAAAGTGACCTTATTAAAGTTCGCACAAAAGCTCTCTGTTGTCTATCAACACTAACTGTAGGAGGTGCATGGGTACGAGCCTTTGGTTGTGTGTGTATCTAGTGGATCTGCCATTTTTTGGGCTTGATAGCTAAGAGCAATGAGAAAGAAAAGTATTGCCCCTACTAGGCAAGTCCATATTCAGTTACTGTTATTTTAGTGATTTATGCATGTATATTAAACTTACTGCAATGATCGTTTGTGCAGTGCAATCAATATAATTATATTCATTGATTTTTTCCCCTGAAGATCGATGAGTTTTAAAAAATTTCAAGAAATATGTGTATATGGCCAGTGGCCATTCCCCATGTTTATAACTAGGATATTAGAAACACATGTACCATCAAAATAGCTGCTAGTGGAGTGGGACAGCAACAGCATCCCCTATTTGTTAGTTATCTATTAAATTGGCATCTTTTTCATATAACGAAAAGATGAATATATGTATGTGCTTACATATTTATAATTATATTCATTGATTTTTTTCCCCTGAGGATCTATAAGTTTTAGTTAAAATTTCAAGAAATATGTGTATTATGGCCAGTGGCCGTTCCCCATATTTATAACTAGGATATTAGAAACACATGTACCACCAAAATAGCTGCTAGGGGAGTGGGACAGCAACAGCATCCCCTAATTGTTAGTAATCTATTAAATTGGCATAATCTATTAAATTGGCATCTTTTTCATACAACAAAAAGAGGAATATATGTATGTGCGTACATATTTATATAACTTATTTTTATGAAACACTCATATTTTGTTTTTCAGGTTATCTTTTACCTTAATATATATAATTTCAAAAAGGATAATAGTATGTCTATTAATGATGCATTTATGATGGGCAGTCCCTGCATGCTACTTCACCCATTAACTATTGTGTGGTCAATATGCAGCTTTTGGTGTGACCAATACCACTTCTCAATAGCGTTTTGGCATACTTATAACCATGTCAGGGGTTGAGTCACAGTAACTTTGCAGATGAGGATACACAAGGCATTTTGAAGCTCAATACTGGTACATTGTAATTAATCAGCTGCGATAATTGGTAATCTGCCAATATGCTTATCGGTGCAACCCTTTGATTTTTACTCATGAATTTTTAATCTAAATTTCCTACAATTTATATAAAATTTACATTGCACACTTTTCCAGAATCATATTCAAATGTAAATATATTTTTTTAAATAAAAAATAAAATAACATTTTATGGGATTTATATTAATTTGATGAAGAACAATTTATTAGTCATTCATCTTCATTCAGGACACATTTTGATGTCTTAGAGTGTGTTTGATTTAGACATGTAACTGCTTAGACAGGTGTTGCACAGCCTTCTTCTATCAATCTTTGAATCAAAATTCCATCTGCATTTCCTGATTGTTGTGGTTTTGATATTTTATATATCGGGTATAATTAATTTAGATCAAGATTTGTGTACAGTATAACATGTCTTAAATTCAAACAAAATTCATTGAAATCAGCTCATTCACATTAAGTAGGTTCTGGCAAGATTACTGTGTTCATTCATTCCTCATGTTTTTTGAGGTAACAGCCAAATGATATAATTTCTGTTGGAGCTGTCTGCAGGATCAGGTTTCTGTTCTGCAGATTTTTCTTTGTTGTCCCATCCCAGGTCTTCTTCAGTTTCATTATACCTGTGCTTTCCGTCTGATTCCTGTCAGAGGTGTTGCTTTAGAAGCATGTATTACTGGCAGTTCCATCTTTTTTTGATATTTGCAAGCCGTCCAATATCAAAAGCTAAAGGCTTTTTTCAGATATTTAAAGGATTTATAAAAATCCTTATCTCTATTGGGCTGAAACTATTCTTATTGTAAAAGTAGTTTCTTTCTCTCCGTAATATTTAAGTTTAATCCTTGCAGTAACTCTGTAATTTCATATTCTTTAAAATAAAGAGGATTTTAGTGGTTTATTGACAAGACCAGCACTGTAGTAAACAAACAGTGCCTGGTTTGTTTGTTTGTGTGTGGGGGGGGGTGGGGCATCATGTACACCCCTTGCAATGGAATTGGTAAATAATTATGTTTAACTTTACTATTTTTACAGTTCTCTTCTTTAGTAGTCATTCATTACCTAGAATATATAGAAAAAAAGATCTGCACATTAATACTTTCTGTGAATCTATTTTTAGGCTATCGACAGGATTTCTGAGGACCTTGAATACAACAATGTTATAACCGGATTATGGCTTGTTGTAGCACATTTTGCAGAACAACTTGCTTACCTAAAACCAGTCCCTGCCCTTTCTGAACTGTGCTTTAAGCTGTTTAGGTACGTTGACTGTAAATAGCGATGTGTTGTTATTAATGTTATGCTTTTAATTATAAAATTATTTTTAGGTATATAAAAATTTTAACTATAAAATTATTTTTAGGTATATAAAACAAATATAGGCCTTTTCAGAACTTTAAATTATTTTGTATTGACGCTAAATATTTTCTTTCAAATCACTTCTCCAATTGTAAGTAGTAAGACTCTTTAAAATATATTTTTAAATGCCTTTTTCTAAAAAAATAATTATAGGCAGTGTGCAAAGTCAGTCCTAAATATACAATGGCAGAATTTGGAAGAAGACAGTTCTGTCAGGCAAAACTTTTTGGTGTCTTTGGCCAATCTCCATACCAAACTCATTCCATTTGATTTTCCACGTTTTCGGCTGTTGGAGGCTTTGACGGAAAATCCATGGACCAATCCAACACTTGCAAAAGTAATGGGAGGAGAAGTGGAAGATGGAGATAAAGAAGAAGGTTTTTAAAGATTTTTAAATAATTTTCCTCGAAATTAGTAAATAAAATAAATTTAAAAAACTTCCTCTTAAATTTGAAGCCAACTCTAGTAATAAAGAATCAAACTATAAAAATAAGTTTTAAAAAAACAACTACTTGTATTTTTTAATTAATAATGCGAATATGCATTTTAAAACTTTCAAGATGTTCTTACCAAAAAATAATAATTTTGCTGTAGCTTTGTTGCTATTTTAAACAAAAACCACTATTCAGGCTAAAGTGCAATGACACTGTTGTGCATCGTCTTCATTTTTACAGAAATAAGGTTTGTTAACATACTTTTTCACGCCAAGTTTGAAATTGCTTTTCAAATTTGTTTGCTAAGAATAAATCCCTTAATTAAATTAAATATTTTATTAAGGGTTTGGATTCTTTAAGTGCACCATTAGAATTTGTTGAAATTAAATTCATTGCATTGTGCTCTCTAATGTTTCAGTGCGCAACTATATAGAGCAGGAAGATCCCATCATCTTACAGTTGAGGGTTGACATGATGCTTAGAGAAAATTGTGAAGAATATGCTCTTAACCTGTGTAACAGCTGTCTCACCCACCCAGAGCTTCAGACAGATTTGAGTATAAGAAAAATTCAACTTTCTCTCCTCTATAAGCTGGGACACGAGGATAGATTGCAGGAAGAGGTTAGAACTAAGTTTTGAACTGCCATGCATAAAATATATTCTTTAAAAATCTTAATGTTTTAAATGTTTCTAAATAACTCTAGAAAAAAGTTGTAACCAATGACTGGGCATTATTTCAATTTTTTTAACTTTAACCCACGCACTGTCATAATGACCAATTTATTTAAATTATTTCTTAGGAAAGGGATTTTAAAGATATGGCATTACTCATGGTAGTGATAATTAGCATTTCAAGTTCTAATTGTGTTAGTAGTGGAGTATAAGGTACAACTGAATTTAGTAGGAATTATATAATGACATATGTAGGTCACCATTGAGTCTAAGTATAACCATCTTCATGGGCTCCTTCATATAATTATATTCTGGATATTGTTAGTTATAATGTTAAATCACACAAAAATTTTACAGTGTCAGAAGCTGAGCATTCAGGATGCCCTCCGCATCATTAAACAGTTACAGACATCACAGCCACACAGGCAGCTCTGTACTGTTTTGGCGCAAACTTTTATGGTGCAGAATTGGATTAGGCCATCTGACATGGAGGCCAACAAGGTTAGAATAAAAATTACAATAGTGAAAGACAGGGACTCTTCGGTTAATTCAATATTATTTCAATATAACCATATTATTATTTTTTTTTGTATCGGCCTATTGCTTAACTTTTAAGACTGCACTTAATTTACGGAGGCAACCCATTTTCAATTCCACTCCCTGTTTGCCCTTGACTCCAGACTTTGTTGGCTGATGTTTTTACTCATGGTTTACCTCCTCCCCAAGAATAGCATCTCACTAAGCCGACAAGTTCTTACCACCTGGCACTTTACCCAAAGCTTTAGGGTGGGGGGGGGGGGGTGGTCTCAGAACGAAAAGGAACTGCCACCTAAGGGTCCAAAGGCAAACAAAATGCTCATTGTAAAAAAATTTTAAAAATCTATTAAAGTTTTAAAGGGGGGGGGGGGGGGGGGATGTCTCAGGACGAATAGGAACTGCCACCTCAGGGTCCAAAGGCAGACAAAATGCTCATTGTTAAAATATTTTAAATATTCATTACAGATTTAAAGAAGTTTTTAAATGTTTTCAGGAACTTTTGAGGTTGTGGATTCGTCAGCAACTCTTAGTGGATAGAGAACAAGATCAATTCAAAGAAAGTGTTTGGGCTATGGCTAAGCTCTCGCAGTCAACGGATCAAATTGTAATCTTCATAGATGTGCTAAGGGAAGAGGTGACTAAATGTTTTTTAGATTTGAACACTCAATTGCTAATTGAACAATTTAACATTTTTTCTAGAGAAAGTAATTTTAACTGAATATTTTTTAATATGGGCTAAAATCTGCTTAATGGCTTAGACAAAGCTATCTATTAATCTTTGCAGCTTTAAGAAGGAAAATTAAAAGACGATGAACTTAAGTTCCTATGAAAGAAACTATTGTAAGTTCAAATGGCTTTGTGGCCAAAAAAACTGAAAAGTTGGCACCACTGCATTAACATAAACTTTAATAAAAATGTCTATATTAACTACTGAAAATAAGGCATGATTGTTGAGATAATTTGTTACCAATAGCATATAATAGTTTAAGATGTAATAAACTGCCACCAATTCTATTTACACAGAGTACAGTTTGAATATGTAGCATTATGAAAACATTTTTTGCAGATGTCTGAATAATGAAAATTACTTTTATATTCCAGTGTGGTGATGTTTACCTACAATTGTATGTGGATATGTGTATCTTTGCGATCAATGTGGACAAAGGTCAAATGGAGACTAATATAAAAGAAGGTAATATGGATGCTGCCATAGCTAGGAGAAGCGACATGGCATCCATTTGTGCTAAGCTGTCATGCCTCTGCCATCACACTTCGTTGAAAGTGGCTCGGATCTGTGCTCTCACATCATTTACGCTCAGGCCATCTGAGCAGTCATTCACTAAAATAGGAACATTCTATGGACAAGCTGGGGGCTGCTGCAATAAATGTGGCTTGGAAAAAAACCATGAGCCGGGTAAAGTTAATCCAGCAACTCTCTATGAAGTTGAAAGGCTGCTTAACATGCTCAGACCTGACTACCTCAACCCAGAAAACTCATTTAGTAACATACAAGCTCTTTGTCGTAGATTTTTACATGAGAGTGTAAAAAATGCTCAGATGAGAAACCAGCAAGTGGCTTCGGGTGTGTCTATACTGTCAGTTACTCAGATAGAGGGTCCAGGAAAGAAGAAAATAATGCCACAGGCTAACAAGCCAAATAATTTATTTGAGGCGCTGACGCCTCAGGATATCCAGAATACCCAATCTTTGCTCAATAAAATGCGACTGCAGAGCATGCCACCACCAAAACCAACCCATTTGGTACAAAACACACCTCGTCTTATGAATCCATCAGGGAGTATGAGACCCAATATTATACAAAATAACCAGCAGATGACTGCATTTAAACCTGGCCCGCAAAACAAACAGCAGTATATGTTTGATGCGGAGAAAGTTAAAAGTAGTATACCATTTGGTGTTACCTTGGAGCAGCAACAGTACTATGCCCTTAAACGTGAAAAAGAGCTGGAGCTAAAACAAAAATATGCACAGAAAAGGGTAGAAAAACCTCAAGACTCTCTTGGAACAAATATTCAAATTTCTCAGCAGCAGAGTTCTGTTATGTTGCAAAACCAGATGAAACAGAAACAGCTCTTGCAGAGAAATGCTCGGGTCTCTCAAATGATCCAGTCAGCAATGCGTCAAGATTCTAATGTCCTCCAAAGTCCAGATATAGTTCAAGCTGTTTTAAATATAATGAAGGGCAATGTCTTGAAACAGACTTCCCCCGTGCCACAACAACAAACCCTCAATCATCAAATGCCTCAAACATCATCTTCCACCGCTCAACAAGGAACTCAGCCTTTGCCTACAGTGTCAACTTTGTTGAGGCCAACCATACATTCACAGCAACTGGGACAACCTCAACAATCAGGACAACCTCAGCAACACAGGGAACAACCATCACCACGAAAATACCCAAGGCCCCAGCTTTACGCACAACCCATTATTGTTTCAACCTCCCCCAGCCTGACCTCTTTGAGCAACAGGTCACATATAACAACTGCCCAAATCTCCAGAAATAGTAATTTACATAACATCAATGTCATATCAACTATGTCGTCTGCTCAGAGACAGGGAGCAGAAAACCAGATGTCAAAGAGCCAGGCAGACAGCATTAGACAGTACATGCAAATGTCAAACATTCAGAAACAAATTGCAGAGCAACGGCAGATGTCAGGCTCCACTGTGACCCTTAACAATATTCCAGTGACTAGGTCCCCGAGCATCCACCAGATCAATGTTGGTGCAATCTCTCGTCCAAAGACGACTGTTGAATTGGCAGAGCAGGCATCTCTAGCCAAACAGCAAGAAAAGCTGGCCAACTATCAACAGCAAGTGAGAACAAATCAGGCTCAGGGTTATTCTCATACCAATCAGCGTTTACCAAAGAATAATCAGCAGCAATTTTTAGCATCAGCGCCTAATCAACAAATTTTAATGTCACAAAAGCACTTACAACAGCAAAACAACTCTTTCAATGTAAATAATTGCCATCAGAGTTCTAGTCTTACACATAATCAAGCCCTCCCTTTGCCACCATCTGATGAACTATCTGGTTCAATCACAGGAATTGATGACACTATAATTAAAGAGCTTCTGCAAGATTCTGGTATTTTGGCCAACACATTTCCTGATATAGAAGTAGATAACATAGGAGAAGATAAGTCAAGGAAGATTTCTGAGCAAGCTTTAACTTCATCTCAACATAATTTGTCTTTGCAAACTTTAGATCCAATACGACGGACATACTCAAATTCTTTTCAACCTGGTGTTCAGTTCCCTAAATATAGCTTAGCTTCTTCAGTTGCAACTAGTCAGTCAACATCTAGAACAAATCAACCTCTGCATATCAGTAATACATCACAAATATCTCATGCATCCGTACAACAATCTAATACTTTAATAACGAAAAGTCCAAATATGGTTGCGCCCAACCAGCAGGTCAACACTAAAGTTTCTCAGCAATACATAGATAATGCACAAAATAGATTGCAAAGGGCATTTAATCAACAGCAGTTTTCAATGAAACCCACAGTGTCCCCACTTCAAATAGATACTGTGAGTGGTCATGTTGCTAGCCAGCCAGAACAAAAACCAACAATGGATCAGTTACGAGAAATAATGAAGAAAGAGGACATTGAGGGTGAGATCTGCATGGATTCTGCCAACAACGCCACCTACAGATGCATCATTTGCAGTTCAGCATTTGAGACTTTGGATGCCCTTCGTGAGCATGTTAGGAATGTCTGTAAACCTGGCCTGCAGTCTTCAAGCGTCTACAACAGTAAAATTAAACAGGACAGGGCTAACTCTGCCAAGGCCGGTGTAGAAACCACGACAGTGTTCCAGTGCTTGCGCTGCTTTGAGCTGTGTGTAAGTGATGTGGGCATCAAACAGCACCGACTGACTTGCAAGAGGGTCCCCACTGTCCCATCTGACTTAAAGAAAGATGCGGCCAACAAAAATAGACCGTCCCCCAAGCCCAGTAGGCCGCTAACACCTAAAAAAGAAGCAAGGGACAATTTGAATGTTGCTCCTGAGTTACCTTTGTCATTTCCATATCCAACTTTGAATGCTGGAGCCACCTTAAAGAGCAGTGAGATAAATTCTGCAGGAAAACAGCTGTTGTGTGTGTCAAATTCTAATGTGAACGTGCAGCAACCACCCACCTCATATAACATCAGTTACCCACAAACTTGTGTGACTTTGGCCAATAGTGGATCTCAATCTCTTGTGGTTGCAACTTCTTATAATAGCACTCCGCCTGGGGGTACATACAATCCTAAATCCAGTCACCAAAGCCATGTTCAAACTAACAATCATGAAAATCAAGCGTCTCTCTATAATTTTGCTCATAATGTTAGTAGAAGTAATACTCCCACAGTTATCACTGGTGCAAATATAAACAATGCGAATATGTTTAATGTTAAGACTGGTACAGGTGCTCCGGTCGCCAGTCATGTTGTGGTGAATTTAGACCAAAGCACACTTCCAGCTGTCAATAAGGAAATTGTAAATAAATCAGCCCAAGTCCCTAATCTCAGCACTGTGTCAGTTTCCAGTGTAACTTTGAGCAGTGCATCAACTGTAAGCAATATGCCACTCACTTCTGGTGCTTTGCTTCCAGTAGGCAAAGAAACTGTATCAAGCTCACAAACACCAAACGTTCTTGTCCCACAACAATTGAAAGAAGAACAGGGGCCAAGTAAAAAGGTTAAGGAAAAATTGATCAAACCTAAGGTAAAAAAACTTCCTCCGCCAAGTTTCTCTGAAATCTCAGGTTCCGGGGGTTGCAAATTTTACAAGTGTGACCTTTGCTCTCAAACATTATGCTCTTTAGAAAGCTTTGTAATTCATTGGGAGATATGTGCCACTAAAAACAAATCCCTGTTGAGGAGGAGGGCCTCACGTGAGAAACTTTTGAATGCTAAACCGATGACGGGAGAGATTCTTCAAAATGTTTTATCAGTCATTTCCAATGTAGCAGCAGGTAGTGGACCACTGGAGGTCCAGCTGGCTGATAATGAAAGTGATGCAGATTCTAGACTTGTATCACTCTTAGACCCCTGCACAACAGACCATGATTTGGTAGAATCTAATGAGATGGACAATACAAGTTGGGTTGAGGATGAATCACCTAATAATGTACCTGATGAAAGAGATAGTATATGTCATGAAGGATCTGAAGAAGAAAAGGATGTTTTTTCTGAAGTGTCTTCTGAGAAGGACTCTGTTGACGATAGTGTTGAATATAAACGGCGAAGGTGCAAGTATGTTGAATCAGATGAAGATGATGACGACAATAGCTTAAGTGAAAGTGATCAGAATCTTGCATTTGTGTCCACTAGAGATGCCCCGCCCAAGCTCAGGGACAGGAAAACCTTAAAGCCCATTCACAGCTTCATCAATGAAACCTTCCTATCTCCCTACTATAAAGGAAATGCTAAATCTGACGGCGACAGGCTTGGGGAAGATGAGGAGGATGGTGAAGAAAAAACTCCAAGCCCCACGAGTGACGAGGTTGACTCAGAAGGAGATGGTCTTTCCTGTACAGTTTGTAGAACTACCTACCAGACTAAGCGTATGCTCCTCCAGCATTGCGCCGGCAAACACCTTAAGCCATACACCGTGAAAACTCTTGCAGACAGCTCCTCATATTTCTGCCACCTTTGTCAGAAAACCTTCTCAACCTTCATGCATTTTATGCAGCACGTCCCCAACCATTCTGTAACAATTTATGAAAAAATGAAGTCTTACGCAGCGAACAGGAAGCTGTTGCAACATAGCCAAAGAATAGCAACTCAAAGGGGATTCATGAAAAAAGGAGGCATGAGCCCCAAAATGGCCAAAGCCTTAAAGAGCAAGAAGGCCGCCAAGAAATCTGCAGTTGATAAACTGAAAAGAGAGTTGTTATCCAGCAGCACTCACTCTGTAAGGGAGACGCTCAGGCTTTCTAAAAGAAAACGATCATTGTGTCAAAAGTTTACATCAAGTGAAGAAGATTATAGTACCGATGCCTCCAACACTGCTGTGACCAGGTCTAAGAGGGCAGAGTCAGAAAGCAGCCTGTTGAGAGGAATATCACTGAGAGGTAGGGGAAGGCCAAGGAAACAATCGAGCGTTGAGGAGGCATCTTCCACTGAAGACTCGGGTCCCAAACTAGCTAAGAGCCCAGATCATGACTATGTTGCAAGTGATGATGCTTACGACAGCGATATCTCTCTTGAAAGGGCTCCACCAATCACACGAAGCAGAAAACGATCTAATCAGACTGCATTTCATTCAAGTATTTCCAAAAGAAATTCAGTCAGCTCTTTTTCTGAAGACCTTAGTGAGATTAATGGGGATGACAGTGAAAGTGGGACTGGAAGTAGACTGGGCTATAAAAAAATAGTTTCAGAGGCAGGTGTGATAGAATTTGATTCAGATTCCAATTCTGCAACTCTAACTTTTGTTCAGCACAACAATGGCAGCCTGATACCTGTTTCTGACACGGAATCACCTGAAATAAACACGTCTCAAGGAGGAGAAAGTATAATTCCTGAACTTAATGAAATAAAGAATCCACCCCGTAAAATAACTGTTGGTTCTTTGAGCAGACGGCTGAAAGAAAAGTTAAAGTCCTGTGATCTGCACCCAACTATTGTATTAGAAGCACTGACTTCTAAGAACATAGATGCTTCTACAGGCGACTGTAAGAGCAAGGAACCCAAGTCAGAAAGTACAGTTTCATACAAATGTTCTTTTCTAGACTCTTTCTTATCATATCTCAATCATTATCCCAATGCAACAGACAACAAAAACACAAAATCTTCCCACTTCCAAAGACGGAGTGGACCAACGGAACAAAGGAAAAGGCATAACTTTGATGACAAAAGCTTGTCCGTTGAAATCAGTGGTGACAGCCCTGTTATTAGGAGCCGCGGTAGTAGCGTAGATGGAAGTGTGACCAGCACCGACCCAGGTAGTTTAGCTGACACCGAAGGCAGTACCATCAGCTACAGTACTGGCTCTGAAAAAGAAAGTAGCATGCACTCTTTACAAAGAGAAACAAGCAGCTCTGGTGACATGAAATCTTTCCTGGCTAAGTTTCCAACTAGGAGATGTAGTGTCAATCTTGGCAGAAAAATTAATGCTGACTCGTTGTGTCTAAACACTTGCACTAATCTTTCTGTCGACAAAAGTATTGATTTGGAAAGTCCCGCTGTAAAAGAAAAGGTCCTTGATGATACTAGAAAAAAAGTGAAGGTGCCCTTAGAATCCAGTGGAGGTGCCATCATTCGACCCGTAGAGCCTGTTGTGCGGTTGCGGAGAATTTCAGTACCAGTAGGTGACTGTTCACAGACGGACTTGCCAGAAATAGTGAACACTAAAAATGTTGGGAAGGGTAAAGAAGAACAAATAACTAAAAATTCTAATCATGATGGAGCGGGGCCAGCTGAATGTGACAATGACTTAAAAAGCCACTGTATGAGATCAAAATCAGCTGAGCATAAGTATTACTGTTCTGCTTTGTGGCATGAACAAAATACCAAGAAAATTTCTCAGACAGACATATGTTTAAAACTTAAGTGCTCAGGAGTAAGTTTTGATACAATAGAGAATAGTTTGAATGAAGATATCCAAGCCGTTGGTGACTATTTAACTAAAGATAAAACTCAAAGGACAGGTAACACAACACCGGAGCCTGACACTCTGTCCGTAATTAATGCAAAATCCTCCAATGATGGAAGTTTAACAGGCTCCCTAAATATTGGCTCTGATTGTGCCAAAAATATCCACTCAAATGGAGCAAATGATTGTGTCTATGTTCAGAATATTCCAAAATTCCCTGATAAAGGGCATGAGAAAAATGTTATAATTGAGAGAAATTATGATGATGATGAGGAGTGCATGGAACCTAGTGGAGAGTCAGATGACTTTTACATTGTCAAGGAATCAAGTGACCATGAGCTTGATGATTCTGAACTCAGCGAGGAGGAACCTAATGTCAGCAGTGACAAAGAACCTAATAACAGCAGTGAGAAGGAACCTAAGAACAGCACTGAAAAGGAACCTAAGAACAGCAATGAAAAGGAACCTAAGAACATCGGTGAAAAGGAACTTAATAACAGCAGTAAGAAGGAACCTAATAACAGCAGTGAAAGGGAACCTAATAACAGCTTTAAAAAGGACCTTAATATCAGCGGTGAAAAGGAACCCAATAACTGGGGTGAAAAGGAACCTAGTAACAAGAGTGAGAAGGAACCTAATAACAGAAGTGACAAAGAACCTAATAACAGCAGTGAGACGGAACCTAAGAACATCAGAAAAAAGGAACCTAATAACAGCGGTGAAAAGGAACTTAATAACAGCGGTAAGAAGGAACCTGATAACAGCAATGTAAAGGAACTTAATAACAGCGGTAAGAAGGAACCTGATAACAGCAATGTAAAGGAACTTAATAACAGCGGTGACAAAGAACCTAATAAAAGCAGTGACAAGGAACCTAATAACAGCAGTGAAAAGGAACCTAATAACAGCAGTGAAAAGGAACCTAATAAAAGTAGTGAAAAGGAACCTAATAAAAGTAGTGACAAGGAACCTAATAAAAGCATTGACAAGGAACCTAATAACAGCAGTGAAAAGAAACCAAATAACAGCAGTGACATAGAACCTAATAACAGTAGTGAAAATGAACCTAATGCCAGCAGTGAGAAGGAACATAATAACAGTGATGACAAGGAACATACTGCCGGAATTGACAAGGAACCTAATGCCAGCAGTGAGAAGGAACTAAATAACAGTAGTGATAAGGAACCCAATGGTAGTAGTGACAAGGAACCTAATGCCAGCAGTGACAAGGAACCTTATATCAGCAGTGAGAAGGCAGATTTGGAAGATAAAACACAAAATACAAGCATCTTTGAGACATCTGGTTCAATTGGAAATGGAGAAAATAGTCTAAATCAGCTGCATGCTAAAGATCATTTGGAATTCAAACAGACCATTCAACAAGATAAAAAGGAACAATTGGATAATAATAATGCTCATCAAACATTTCCTGATAACTTTGATGATAGTTTGCACATTACCTCCCACAGTGAGAAAGACACAGCAGACCCTAAAGAAGCCCCCAGTAACAACTGTAAAAATGAAGAACATCCTGAAGTTAGTTCACCAAAGACCGAAGGACAGAACACTGCTGACATTCATGAATTTGTGTCTGAAGTCACTGACCACAGGTCTTGTGATAATGTCTTTGAACAATTCAATACTGCCAGATATGAAGACAGCTCTGAGATGTCTGTGAAAAATTTAACAGGTAGCAATGAGTTCAGCCAACATTCAGATGTAATTCAATTAAAAGATGTTCCAAACACTGATCCCATAAAACAGATTGTTGATATCCTTAATTTCTCACAACATGAATCACCAAGGGATGGTGAAAAATTACCTCATCAAGAATTTAATAATGAAATTGATCTGCTACCTATACAAGTGTTAAATACTGACATTGTAAACCTAACACAAGAGTTTGGCTCTGATATTCATACATGTTCACAGGAGCTAAATGATTTTGAAAACGGGGTATACCCAATACTGGACAAAGGTAACCTTCATATTCAGCATATATCTGATGACAGAAAAAACCAGAACATTTTACCAACATCAGTTATTACATTGGATGCCAATCAACAGTCTGTCAGTCTCTCATTGGAGCCAGAGACCAATAACCCACTCAAAGGTGGTCATACGCACTCAGATAATCAAATAAAATATCCACCCACATGTTCCAAAAACAGCATTCTCAATGTGTCAGATTTGAAAGCCATATTAGATATAGACATGTCAGAGCTTCCAAAGGGTAGCACAAGCACCCCTGTGGAAGATGTTGGTCTAGTTGTACCTAAACGTAAGAAAGTTTTACCTATAAATGTTGATGATGCTAAAAACAAAGAACAATTTGTAAGTGACAAACGGTTCTGTGATGTAGGTATGGAAATGAGTTACATACAAACTCATACCTCCCCACCGACTTCTTTGGAAACATTTTCTATCTCAGAAAAAACAAATACGAATGTAGACAATTTGACTGAATTGAGCGTAAGCACCAAGTTATTGGGTAGTGCTACAAAGGATTCAGTGACTTCATTTTCTAATGATGAATTGTTGGCCATTACTTCAAATGATACAGTTGTCTCAGCTTTGAATGAGGAATTGGCCATTACTTCAATGGATTCAGTTCCTTCATCTGCACCCAAGGAAATCAACACATCTAGTCATAGGCAGACTTCCTGTTCTGATGCAAGAAAGTCCACTGCTCCCAAAAGGACAAAGATCGAAAAAACAATGGAAAGGAGAAAACCATCTAAAGCAATGGTGAGAAATCCAAATATTTCCTTAGCTGCGTTTATTCATGAAAGACTCTTAACTAAGGAGAAGGCCAGCACCAGCTCACATTTATCAGACAGGAAAACAATTGATGATAATAAAGAAAAGACTGAAGTCCAATTCAATGCTCTGGAAGCCGAAAAATCTCTGGGATTAGGACTAGTTGACTACAGCTCTTCTGATGATGAAAAGGAAGGAAGTTCTTCAGATGACAATGATTGTGAAAGCAGTAAAGTTGTGGGTACTGACAATGTTCCCTCATCTTCCAAGCCTCGATTAGATGAATGGAACAGTACTCAGTACCCCACAGATAATGGAAATGGCAATAATGTATATACATTTCACTGTATCACTGATACTCCACAACCTCAGCCTGTCTTGAAACTTAACAGTGCTCTTTACAGCCACAGTGTTTTCATGCCTTCCAACAGCTCATCTACAACAGGTGACTTGAAGCAGATGCTTGAGACTCATTCTGTTCGGATTGAAAATGCAGGGCGAAATGGACATTTCCAGTTATTAGAAGAGAAAGGCTGTCACAGCAATACCGGCTTTAATGGCTTAGATAAGAAAACTGACATGACCAAATCATTAAAGACACTTCACTGTGAAATAATTGTACATATGTCAGAAGTTGACCAGGATAATGACCCTCATAGTCTCAGAGACTGTAGTGATGTTGCTGATTCAAATACAGCTTTAATCACAGAACCGAGTGAAATGGAACCAATGTGTAACATATTGTCAAGAGAACAAGAAAATCTTAGTTTATGGAGATCACAAAGTCCAGGGGTGTCAGAAAGCAATGAGTATGCCAAAAGAGAATTCCAGTCATTAGAATCTACACCTGACAGATCACCAGAGTGTAAGAGAATAGTTTCCCAGAATGTTCCCATGTCCACACCAGTTGATGAGGATGTCAGGATGTCCCAAAATCAGAATGTATGTGGCTTCAATAAACATGATGATGTGTCGCAACATTTATCCAATAATGATGATAATGATCTGAAAACATGTCCAAGCCCAAGGGACAATCCTACGGAACCATTTCATATCACAGAGGACAATGATGATGAAGTAAAGCCTGCGGAAGTAGTCGTGCAAATTTTAGATGAGACTTTTATTGATAACAATAAATCATCTTTCATACCGGTATATGAAGAACCAATAGGCAAAAATGATATCGCAGAAGTAGAAAAAAAAATTTTTGAAAGCAAATGCAAAGATGTACTGAAATCATATCAAAATCTCACTCAGAACAATGAAATGTCCACAGATGAAGACACAACAAAGTTACCAGAGGAAAACTCTTGTCTGGCGATAGAAAAATCTGAGCAGGACACCAAACACTTTGATTATTTTTTTGAGGATGAGGTAAAGTTACTTTCTCCATGTACCGGTATTACAACAGTACTACAACAATTTGAAGATGAAACCCCTAAAAAATGTATGTCGGCTTATAGGAGTGTTGATTTTACAAACTATAATGAAGGTCAATTACAGTCTAGTGATGGGGAAGATTTCAGTGACATTTGTTCTACAAGTGCTTTACCAAATGAGACTACACTAAATGGTCAAATTATAAATGATACTCTGGGTAATGTGATAGTAGATGTTAATTGTGAATCCATAGGTAGTAATAACGTAGCAGCAGTATCTGCTATAAAAGATTCAGAGAACTTAAAAACTCTAGCCACAGAGGCAGAAATTCAGGATTTAACAAGCCAGGACACACATTTTCCAGCACGATCTAATACAGTTATTACTGGATGCCAAATTGAAACGGATTATTTAGAAGAACAAGTAAGTGAGGCGGCTGAGTCATCATCAGATTGTAATGAGGGTAAGACTGATGAGGAACATTATTACAGTGATATATTTAAAAATGAGACTTGTGATAAAAATCAACAAAGTTTGCACCAAACTCGACAGGCCAATCAGGATGCGCCTTTTAATGAAACAGAAAGCTTAAGTGAAGTTGTTGTGGGGGCTAGTGAAGAAGCCAATGACAAACAAGCTAGCTTAATCAAAGGACTATCTGGTGATGAAAATAATGTGCGCGAAGTTGGTGATTGTTGTTCACAATCTGGATCAGAAGCTGTTACTGGTTATCAGATAGAAGAGGAAATTAAAAGAGGCAATCCTTTGTCCGAAGAATCAGAAAGACATGGTTGTAAGCAGAAATCAGGATTAGAAATGGATATCAATAATAAGATTTCAGAAAAAGGTGACCAAATGTCAGACACATTAAAAAGAAGAAGGGGTCATCAAATGTCACCAGAAACAGAATGCTGTAATAAAATGCAAACAGAAGAAGGTACCCCACACAGCAACAATTGTAGCCTGGTTCATCATTCTTTCAATTCCTATTCCAGTGTAAAATTATCTGGAGATCTCAGTGTCAGTTCTGCAGATAACTGTAAGAAGACACTAAGTAGTCCTATGAAACCATTTAAAGAGGATGACAATGACAAATCTTCGACTTCGTCTGATCCTGACGAAGACTTTGATTTGATCATAGAAAATGACACCTCATCAAGAAATCTAATTTCATTTAAATCCAGTCCTGAAAAGAACGTGTTTCCCAAAACTCCTTCAACTGTTGGGGACATCAAACCTGTGAAAAGGATATTGACCAAGGCTTTTGCTCATACTCATACAGCAGCTAAGAAAAATGAATATCAGAAAGTGATATTGGCAAAAAAACCACTAAGAAAAACCAGCCAAGAACAATTTAAATGGGATGATGATGAAGAATCAAAGACACCTGGACCAATCACAGGGCATTTAACTTTCACTATTGGTACTAATGATGCAGTCAAGATTAGCATGGTAAATGATCATGTAACCAATGATAACAATGTTCAGAAACCGGGAGGAAAAAGAAAAGTACTGCAAGAGAAGACAGAGACCTCTCCATTTATTTCGAGTATAGAAGATTCCAGCTTTGGAAAAACTGAGAGTAAACTTAAGGTTACTGCATCTATTAGTCAGTCTGTGTCCGTAGTAGGTGGCAAACCAAAACGACTAATTCAGAAAAAAAGGTCCTATTCACCGAGTGATCACACGACGCCAGAAATACAAGCAAAAATAAAGAAAACAAATTCTGCCAACAAACAAAATAGAACTTCAAATCCCTGTATACAAAAGAGATCTGGGGTTGATAAACTGATTGTAAATAAAAGAGAGACAGTTGAATTTGTTTATAAAGGAGCCGAGGATTTAGCAAGTGCTAACAATAACTCCATAGCTGTGGATGATGAGATCTCATTTAAGAAAGACTCTTTTTCCTCTCCTGCATTTGAACCCCATAATTGTTTACCATCAATAAGCACTGCACTTACAACTGGTGGCCAACAGCGCATTAAAGCAAAATCTCACAAGTCATCTCTCTCAGGAACTGCCCATGTCATCAGCATTCCACTAGAGGTAAAGGGGATTGCAAATAACATACATACTAATGAGGAGGCTTTGCACAAGACACCGATTGGTTTAAGGTCAAGGCACAGCTCAGTGGAATCTAACAAATCTGACAGGTCATCGTCCTCTAAAAGACAAACAGAGGGCAATTCTCAGACTGCTGCCAAACGTGGTAGAAAGAGTGAAGATTCACCAACTCCAATGTGGCAAAAGATCGGGCTGATTAAAATTACCCCTAATACCCCTAATGTGGCAAGCTGTGCAGAGAATGCACCAATGACTCGTTCATCAGAGGCTGCTATGAAGGCCTACAATCAAAAAAGTTTAAGAAATCGTGAAGTCAATCCACTTGACTCTGTGAGTGCATCATCACCAACACTTAAAGGTGGGCAAACAAATGTGAGCTCAAGGTCTCTCCTCGACAAAGGGAAAAGTCTAGTCATCTCAAAAATGGCACATGTGTCATCTTCTGCCAAACATTCCCCTATCTCCCAGCCAAAGTCTGTTGGGGCTGCCAAAATTTCAAAAAGACTGAATGACATGTCTCCATTAGCTGCGGTGGTAAAACGTAGAGTAGCACCTGTACCATCGAGACAGTCTCAAGTTAAAACTTCTGTTAAAGGAACACGTCCTGTGACTACAAGTGCAACTGTCTATGTTGTCGATCCTGTACCAAACACACCATCATCTGAGATTTCTAAAAAATCATCTTTTGTTGGAGCTAGAACTATTCATACTCAACTACCATCAGGAACAGTTATTAAACCAAATAAGTCGGTCAGACATCAGAATTTGAGCATTTTGAAAGGGACCAAAGCAGATGCTGTGAAAAGGCATCGTAGAAAAACATAATTTTAAAGGGATATTAAATTTTTACTGTGGTTATATTTTGTTATTAAAAAAAAAAAGATCTTATTCATATATTAGCTGCTTTATTCTTCAGGTTAGTTTATATTCACATGCCACAGTTCAGGTGCTAAAACATCTTAAATTTGCTTAATATAGATTCCTATGTTCTGACTTTTCTATTATGGTACTATTTTTATTAGTTTAAATTTACCTTTGTTATTTTAAAAAAATTGTCATCACTTCATGATGTACAAAATAATAGTTGTACTGGAACTGAGTAGTGAAAGTTTTCTTTGAAAAAAAAGTTTTTACCATAATTTACCATTAAGAAAAAAACTTTAGTTTTTGTGTTCCAATTAGGACTGAATTTTAACAAAGTTTATAAAGAATCTGTGACAGTGACATAAATTGTAATTATTGCCTTTTGTAAGCTGGTGTCCTAATGGGAGATACCTTTGACACCAACTGTTGTGAATGTATATATGTATCACTGATCTCGGATGATGCCATAAAAGGTATGAAAATATTACCATACTATTTATACATTTTGAGTTGATGCATTTGCCAATGCATTTTTCTTTTTTTTTGAGAAGAAATTGATTTTCTGTTTAAAGCAATTTTGTGGAATGGAATTGAACTTGTCCTATTCCCTCTTAAGAAATTTCTTAACATTTTTAATTAAAGGTAATTAAGTTTTTTTTTTTTTTTTTTTTTAAAGAAAAAAATTTTTTTTTTTTTTTTTTTTTAAAGAAAAAAATTGGTTGAGCCTATATAATTATATACAATACCGGTAATTTAATATATGGCAGTGCTCCAACTTTTCAGTGTAATGGACTAGTTTGAGTTATTTACATCACAGCAGGGACTGGTGAGAAAGTTGTAAATTATCTTTATTCCAGTATTTTAAAATTCCCCTTTTGTAGATTGGTGACAGGTCCAACCCTTTGTAATGTACCGGGTAGCATAGAGTAAGAGATTGAAGTTTTAAAAAATAATAAAAGAGCAATTTGTTTTAGTAAGAAAGCTTACCAACTCATGAAAGTATGAAAAGTTCCCAATGAGCCTAGTAACTAAATTTTACATCAGTCTAGATTTTAGACAGTGGAAGAGCACTATTGAAGAACCCTTTTCCCAATAATAATAATAACATTGTCACACTGATTTTTAATTTTGTGATCTTCCTATTTACTTGATAATATATTCTACAAATGACCATTATAATCATAATTTATATGCACCTACTTAAGACTCTGAGAAAGAGTAAAAAAAATAAATATAATGCTGTACAAATTTTACTTCAGATGTCTGTATTTTAAAGTGAGTACAGCTTTAAAAAATGAATTTAAATTTAATTTACAATTATTTGTCTGTGTAACAATTAGTGTTTGTTAAATATATATTGTAAGCTTTTCAGTATTTATTTTGCTGTAACTTGTTAAAATTGTTGCAATTTTATAATGGGTTTTGAACCTAAAATGTTATATTGAACTATAACTATAAGGCAAACCATTGTTAATCTGTAAAGTTACTGAAAGCTATTGATTTTTTTGCTCTGAATTTGTTTTGAAATTTAAGGCATCTAATGCAGTAGTTAATATTATGAAAGATATGTTGCATAAATATGGTTTAAGGATAAATTTATTAACATTGAATATATCCTTATATGATTACTTATGAATAACCTGACAATTGTTTTTAAATTTTCTTTGTGAATGTAACTTTTTGCTTTAATAAAACAGTTGCCTTCAAATTATTGAGACATGACTCATTTTAATCATTTAATTTAGAAATTAAAGTTAAATCATTTAAGTCTATCAATAAAACACCTGTACCGGTACCACTTTTTAGTTAGTGTTTTAGTGAAAACTTAACAGGTAAACAGATATTTTAAGTGTTTGGGCTATTAATAATTAAGGAAAGTGAAGACCACAACTGTTACTTTTTCCCCAATACCCTTTACATTAAAAACAAATTGAATTTTACTATATTATTTTTTTAATTTAGAAAGTAAGAAAATTCTATATAAATCCCCAGTTTTCGATTAGTTATAAATATAATTTATAAATGCCCCAATTTCTTAATATGAGTAAAAATTAAATTACATTTCCTTGTTTTTAAGCAAACATTTTAATTGTGGTATAAAAATAAATGTTTAGGATACCGGTATCTATGAATAAATTTTCATATCAATCAAAGTATAAAAAGCTTAAAATAAAAGTAAAAACTTAAAATAAGTTTTATTTCCAATTTTTAACAATGTTACACCACACTAGACAAATGGTTTCTTTTTAAAAATTTAGAATGAAGCTTCCAGGCTATAAAGCAACTATTTTACCAGTCTATAACATAAATCATTATCAGTCAATCAAATGAAACAAGTTTCATATAGAATCGAAAACATTTAATAACATTTAAACAACTATTCTGTGTTAAAGTAAGCCAACAATCAGGTATGCTAACAATGGCAGTCTGACAAACTTTTAAACATAACACTAACACAAATAATAGAACCACAAAATTTGTCAAATAATTGTGCTATGATAATAAACAAGGTAATCATGAAATTTCTCACAATAGACATGATGTTATTTCAGTGAAAATTAAATGATGATTAATTAGTATAGGGTAATATAACTTTACTGCATTGAACAGATTTACTAAGAAAATGCAAGTGCTGTTTAAAATTACAGAGCAGAACGCAGAGATTCCATTTTCTTGTAGGTGTCTTCACATTTAGAAGTAGTGGCAGCCTCGGTATCTAAGTACTGTTGACGAGTCAACTTCCCTAACACGAGTTTCTCTGCAGCTGCGATTGCTAGACCAATCTGTTCTTTGTACTGGATATCATAACGCTGCAGTTCTGCAACCTATAGACAAAATAAACATTCCTTAATTTCAGCACACACAATTTTTATTACTATTTTAACCTTTAGAAAGAAATTGCAGTGCATGACAAGCCAGTCTAACCAATTCAGAATTTTTTTGTTAAATCTTTGCAGTCAGATGGATTTAAAAATTTTCATATATAGATTGTGTCCAACACCTTTATGTCCACTATTTGCTTTACCAGCCCGGATAAAAAAAAACTCCTGTGAATTAAATTAAACTGATGTTTCCCTTTAGTTGCAATATAGTTTTTATTTATAATAACCCACAAACTTTCAAATGCGAACATGCCATTGTTTCAACTCTTTTTTGAAGTATCTCTGATAAACATAAGTTTCCCTTTAGTTGCAATATAGTTTTTATTTATAATAACCCACAAACTTTCAAATGCGAACATGCCATTGTTTCAACTCTTTTTTGAAGTATCTCTGATAAACATTACTAAAATACCCAAGACTAATAGATATTGAGTCCATATAACTTATATTTACAAGTACAGACAAGGACACACACAGTATGACCTTTCAATAGAGAATAAAACTGTGCTACCATTTATCTTTTTTTAACTCACACCAACACTATTAGGTCCTTTTAGAATCTAAATACGTTTTTCTGACACATTAAATATTAAACATTAAGTTATTGGGGTTAATAGATTTTTAAAAATTTTAATTTATAAAATTATTCATTGGTGACCTACCTATGTCTTTGTAAAATATATAGTCAAATAATTAGTACCCTATGTTCCACTACTTCAACTATTTAAACTTGAAATGCTACTGGTGCTAGTTTTCAAAAATTGTAATTATCACTACCATCATTAATGCTAACAAAACTATTTTCAAAATCATGTTCATAAAGGAATAATCCAAATAAATTAGGCGATTGGTTTGCAGGGCCAACATCTGAGTCCCAAAGTTACTTTTAACAACAACAAAAAACTGTCAACATAGCTTTAAAAAAATTAAACATAAACTGTTTACTTGAGTTTTCTATACTATTAATAGGAAGTAATTAGTTATCCCATTTTAATAGAAAAATGTAAAACTTCTGACTGGCATTTATAATCTTAATTTTATAGAGGGCGGAAACACCATCAGACTACTTTTGCCCAATTGTGTATTTTTTTTTTTTTTTTGAAATATAAGCAAAAAGCATCCCATTTGTGGTCATACCTTACATAATGTGTCAGATGGGGATGTTTAGTTAAGATGGATCATGAAAATACTTTAAAAATTTGTGATACCTGTAATAGTTACTGTTGGGTTCATGTGTTTTGTGTGGCTAATTTGTTTGGTTAATTTGTCAATATTTAACAGTAAGGACAGGGTCTGATTCCCAACTTGGTGATTTGGAAAATAGAATTTGAGCACCAGTTAGACATGATCTGAAAGTACATTAAGCAGGTACCTTCTCAGCTGCCTCAGAGCCTTCAGCTTTAAGCTGGGCCTGCAAATTTTGAATCTGCTGCGTCAGCTGTTTGTAATCAGCATCAATCTTTTTTCGGCTAGATGTCAAGGCAGCGGCATCTTTGCTAGTTTTGTATTTGTTGATGGCATCATCATAACTTTGGTACAGGGCACTGCGGCGATCATGTGCACTCTGGACTTCATCAATCAAAGTAGATACACGCATTCTACTTTCTTTGGCTTCATCCTTTAAGAGAAAATATCATGTTATAACATTATTATATTATACAGAATTTGCTTTATTCTGGATAGGTCAATAAAAAAAATTGCCATAAATGACAGATATACCTAGTGATAATTTAGTCTTTTAACAATGTCACATCTTAGAGACCTAAGATGACTTAAATAAGATGAAAATCTCCCAAACTCACCTTTGTAATAGCAAAATCCAATCTCACATAGATGATGACAACTAAAAATAGCAAATAGAAGGCACCAACCACCAATAAAGGCTCTTGCAGCAGGAGAAACTTTTGGAATGTGTAGTGCAGCTAAGGCAAAATGAGAACATATTGATTTACGGAGTAAAAAAAATTATATAATATATATTCACAATCTTCATTAACTTTTCAGGAGGATCTTTTTAAAGTAGTTTACCTTGTTATGGTACATCCATGTGCAGAATAATTAAACACATTTCAGTTGTTTTGTAAATTCCTATGGTAGTAAGGCACATTTTTTAACACTTTACATCTAAATATTACAAACAGTAAAAAAAAAAAAACACTATCTACAAGATTTTACTGTTAGGATGAAAATAGGGTAAACTAATAGCTTTTAAAAGTCTGAAAATATTAATTTCCTTTAGTTAATTTGTAAACTTACAGGAGTCTGTATTACTACAGCTGGCCTATTTGACCAAGGAATTATGTAAAATTACATCTAATTTGCTATTAGATTCTTCATGGTACTTAAAACAAGATCATTACATTAAAAGTTGCAATTTACCCATTTATGACTGAAGTTAACATGCTAGGTAGGATGTGTGTGCAGCAAAAGATTAATCATGATTTGTTCTTGTTGATATGAATGGATAAAAAGATTTAAATTGGTCACCACTGCTTGGCATTGTGTGGATATTAAGTGTTAGTACCTCAAAGTCTTGAATGTGCTGTTCCACAAGGTTGAGCTTGCTTAAAACTACAACAGGCCGTCCTAAGGTATCTAGATAGGTATAATGAATCTCATCTCCTTTTCTTTGAACGTCAAAAGGTGTTTTCAGCTCAATATTTCTGTATTTACAAAGTAGAAAAAAATATATTGAAAAAGCACTTGTATATTTAGAGGCCTGACAGAATATTTCATTTTGTATAGAATAGTGCGACTAGTTAAATGGTTTGAATAGTAATTTATTTTAAAAATAAGTACGTTTTAAGTTATGCATCTATCTCAACATGTTTATATTGTTATGGTGGACAGTAAAGGGCAATATATAGTATCAAGATTATCTATGTTAAAAGTGTACAACATAGCTACCATATTGGGTCTTAGGATATTTAACATGTAAAAACAATTTGTAAAAATCAGAAATTAGTCCCAAATCGAAGATAAATTGGAAAAAGGTTGCCAAATGAAGGTACAGAACATTCTGCAACTGTACTTATCATAAGTGACTTACTTTGATCCTTCTGGTAAAATGATCTTAAGCTGCATTTCATCAATAACCATGTCATCATAGATATGATCAACAAACCTCATCTTGAGTGCATAATGGTCACCTGTTAATTTAAAAATAATATTTTTTTTGCACCAAATTATGATTCACTTTGTCTAAAGAAGACTGGAGCAAAGTTTCAAATGGGAGTAGGGCAGGGAATAAAACTTTTTATCGATATGATGCTGTTTAGTGTGGACTAATTTTAACCTTTTTATCCAGTGGACGCAGAGTCCACAATACACAGATACAAGAACAAATTCACAAATAATCTCCCAATCACTGTACGGCACGCACATTTTAGCACGTTTACATCATTCACAAATTGGATAGATTGCAACTAAACTTTCAAATGCAAATAGCTTGTGGAATTAATAGTGTGCCTTTTAGGCTATCCAAACATCCCAACAAAACAGATAGGTGCAAGGACAACATGAAATTTAACTGTAGTTTAATCCCTGAAATTATAGATTTTGCCACTGAAAACGTACCCTTATAATAAAGGTACTCATAACTAGGGACATTGTAACCCAGGTAGTATCTTGTCTTCCAGCCACCAAAAAGAGGGAACCTTGGTCTCAGCTCAACGTCCACCGATTCATCGAGCTCCTTCATGTTGGAAGTAGAAATGTTGCCAATCTCATCTCGATAATAAACATCACGAGCTGAGGCAGGAAGAGATGTCTGAGGAAAAAAATAATTTTTTTGTATCATTAACAAATATTAAAAATTTAAGTATTCTACCGGGCAACAAGCAAAATTAATAATTCTATGCTACTAGATTGAAAAAAATTAGCTTAGTCTCAATCTTGCCTTGAAATTTTTAATGGATGCATAACCATCCTGCTGTCTCTGATAGTCAAATCTTGAAAAAGGTCCTTTCAGAGTTGCACCAGTGTGTCTCATGTCAATGTGCTCTTCCACAGCAATGTTTCCCCAGTGAGAAACTTCCACCACACGCTCCAGTGAGGTCACAGTTAGAAATGGGCTGTTATTTTCCTCATGGACTCTTAGCTGCGACTAAGGTTGAATTTAAAAAACATATAATAATAATAATAAAGTTAATTTGAAAATCACGATCCATCCTCAAAAGGCTTGATATATATCTATATATCTATAAATATATCTATATATCTATCTATATATCTATAGACATATCTATATATATATATATATATATATATATATAATCTTTCAAAGTGATTAAAAATATAAGAATTTACTGATTGTCATAGATAACAAAATTTACTTTTCATTAGTGAAGCAACTACTGATTTAAATGCTGTTAGAGACAGTTTTATTAAATCTGTAAAATTCTGAGATTTACTCATTTTTTACTTCTGATATGATTTTGTAAACCAACAAATAATCATTTTTAAAACCAATATTTGAACACAGACTATATAGTCAGCTTAAATATCCAAAATTTTTATATCTTTTAATTAGTTTATATACTATATCTTTAGTTAGTATCATTTAGACAGCCGGTTACAATCACTTTATATTTTAACAGACAAAGTTTACAGTAACACAAGGAAATTCTCAGTAACAAGACTGACAATGACCCTCTGAACCCAATCCTAACCCTAACCCGCTGCTGAACACCCTGACCTTTATTATAGATTGGTAATTTTATAAACAAAAGAGCTAGCATATTTATAATGTATCAGTATAAACAGTGATTTGTGTGAGGGTGTCATTTTAATTTTTTAAACTTTAATTTGAAGAGCAAAAAAAAGGAAAAAGTGATTGAAGAACCAAAATTTAAGTAGCTTTGAAAATCCATGAGATTTTGCAAACTCTCAACCTTCTTCAGTCTACTCCAGTCTACTACGAGAGCAATTGTTAACTCTTTCCCTCCGGAATTATTTTCCACATTCTTCCGGAATTATCTATTTCGGGTTTTTGTTACGCACTACTATGTTTTCTCTAAACCTTCATAACTTTTTTGTTTTTAATCAGAAAATGTTAATATTGGTATGGAATTAAAGGGAAATGCATGCTCTTTGCAAGCAAACAAGATTTGGGTTTAAATTTTAATAAATAAATGTGATTGTGATTTAAGGAAAATAAAAATTTATTTTAAAAAACTCACCAAATGTTCACAAAACGCTCATTCCAAGTCACACGAAGAGAAATACATAATCCAAAGTGTAACAAAAATTTTTTTTTCTGAACTATATCCATATGTGCATCACAAATAATAAAGATCAACTTTCAAAAAAGAAAAAATTAAACCTCAGAGCACATTATCCATTGTCACCACCACACAAAAAATTAGCAAAAAAATTTAACTAATTCCACTGGAAGCAACCTGTTGCTATTTAAAAAATAATTACACTGTATCCTTGTATGTACTAACATTTATAATAGTAAAAGGAAAATTTACCATACATTAGTCACATATTTCCACCTGGTTTAAGGATTATAATCATATGATTCAACAGAATCAGCCTCTGCATTTGAAATCATAAAATCACTGTCTGAATCATCATCAGAGTAATATTTTCCACCTTTATTAGATTGATCACCAGATGGGTCAGGTCAAGATTTCATGTTTGTAAACAAAAATAAAATGGACAATCAAAACAACCGCTTCAAACAATTCGTTCTTCGTTCAAACAACAGTAAAACCGGATGTTTATGAAAGGGAAATCATTCTAGAATTGATTTAAAATAACTAAATACCAATAGCTAAGAAAAGAACCGAAATAAACAGGTTTTTATACATCGACGAACCCATAGTCGATACGCTGAAATCTTCATTTCAAATCGACGATGGGAGCGTTGATCCGGTGGGAAAGAGTTAAAGAGGGACAGTAAAGAACATCATAAAAAAAAAATCACTGTAAGTATCCCCAATCGGAGTAATGGCAAAATAATTTTATTCAGAGGAATGTTTTAAAAATATATATAATACCAGACCACGATGCAACACAAAAAAGGCATACCTCTGAAAATGGAGCTTTGTCTTCAAATGGACCATAGCTAATTGTAGCATCAGACTGAGACACGGGTTTGGTCTTAGTGTAAGACTCAATATTAGAATTGGTGGTGGTAACAACAGTTGTTTGGCTAGTGGTTGGATATGGTGAGTAAAAGAACAGATTGGTATCCAAAACAACTAGCTGCTTCTCTGCCTGTTGAAATAAAGATAGATACCAATTAAGCTATAGTAAATAATAGTGGAAATTCTTCTTGGTTATGCCACTGGTATATGTAGAAGCATTTGCGACAAATGTATATTTACCTACACCTTTATACCTAGAAGTAGTTATTACATATTTAAAGACACCACTGTACCTGAGTGATCTCCAATGGAAATGGTTTTAGGACATGAGAGTATATGGCTTCAACTTCAACAACAATGGATTTACCCCCATCTAAAGCTGACAGCAGAGATATCCTGAAGAATCTCTTATCACTGCAATTTTTTGAAAAATCACTATTAGTTTCATCTATTACTGTGTGGATGATAACATGATTGATTTACCAGTAAACAAATTTCGGGTTTATTAATATTTTTTGGGTATAAAAGCTGGCTTAACACTATTATAAACATTTTTTGGGTATAAAAGCTGGCTTAACACTTAATCCAAATATCTCAGGGTAAAAAACAAACTATCTACATGCTATTTTCCAATACACATAAAGTTATATAAGACTGTAAACTCAATAACTTTGTCACTTCTGGCAATAATGATTTCAAATTGTTGATGTAAGTACAGGAACATAAATTACTGCAGCTAGCAAACTTAACTGATGAATTATCTCTACCTACATCTAAATTGCTATCAAAATCATTTATCTGACAAAATTGCCATTGAAATTAGTATTTTAAAAAAGGTCAATTATAACAAAAATTGCACTAAAGCTATTTTAATCCAATTTAAGAATGAAGTAAACAAATGTCAATGTATGCACAGTGAATGGGGGAGTGGTCATGAATTTTTCTTGTTCCCATATTATATGGATGTCTAGTGGATAAAAAGCGTAAAAGTAAATAAGGGTTTAGCCAAGCAATCCTTATAATTAAGTGTACCTGAGTCCAGCTACACTTGTTTCAGCTATTTCAAGTTTTTCATCCTTGTTATCCTTGGTCTAAAAAAAAAAGGAGGGGAAAAAAAACATTACCGGTACTGTACTAAAATATCTAGTTGTTGAAAAACTTACAATTTTTACTAATCAAACTTTATAGCCACAGCAATGCATACAAATCATAGTAAATATCATCATTAACATATTCCTTAAATCCTCATGCACCGAATGTTGTGCAACAACACCACCATCAACATTAATAGCTGTCGGCAGGCTATTAAAGATCCATCTATATTATTCTAGGCCAGGGAAATGAGCACTCACATTTTTGCATTTTTTTGTAGGTTGATAGTTACAGGGTTTGTGCCATTCATTTTTTTCGCTTGGCATTGTTAATCTTTTGACCTGACAGTTTTAGCCTTTCTGTCCTTGTTATTAATGGCATTTGCCATTTGCTAGTATTTTAAAATATTTTTTTGTTGCAGTTATTTATGGAACTGGAAACGTGTCGCCGCTATTCGGACCCGGGACCCTTTAGACTCAATGCTATTGATGTCATTTTTGGTAGTTTATTTTAGTTAAATTGAAGAATTAAGTTTACAAACATATCCATTCAATTATCTTTCATTTGAAACCAAATTTTGTCCTACAACCGAACAATAATATTTATTTTTAAATTTTAATCTCAACCTCTAACTTCTCGGACCCGGGTGCGAACAGTCAGTTCGAAAGAATAATTAGTAGTTTGGGACTGCTTATTTTGAACTTTCAACTTTTGCACATATTCACAAAATGTGGAGGTGCAGTCCATAGTAAAAAAATACCAAACGAACTTAAAAAAGTACTATAGCTAGAAAGTTGATTCTGGTTTAATTTTCTTTTATTTGAAGTGTGCTCTGTAATGTACTACTTGAGCATCGGTTAAAAAAAATTCCAATTGTTCCAGTTTGAAGGGCTATTTAAACAATAATTCTTATATTGTTTGCTCCACTTTTGTTTATTGTTATTTAGCAGAATTCAATTAAATAATTATTACTATCGGCATCCTTCCGTCTCGTGAGACGATGGTGCATCACCGTTTGGTTGGGTTGCATTTTCTCGAGTGGCTGTGCAGTCCTATCCTTGAGTGACAGTCTTTACCACAGTTTTTACACATGAGTTCCGTGCTTCTAAATGTTTTGGCCTTTCTCCTAGCTCTTCTGTCTGCAGCCTCTTCCATTCTTCGCTCCTCGGCTACCATGACGCCCTCTTTGACAACTGTGCGCCACGTAGATCGGTCTTTTGCCTTACACTCCCAGTCACTTGTATGTATTTTGGCTGCTTTCATGTCCCTTTGACAGACATCTTTAAATCGCAGACGTGGGCGACCTGTTTTCCTCTTTCCCGAAGCAAGTTCACCATATAGGAGGTCTTTCGGAATGCGGCCGGGACTCATTCTTTTAACATGACCTAGCCACCTCAGGCGTCTTTCACTAAGGATTGTGAACATGCTTTGGGTATTCGCACGCATTAGGACCTCACTATTAGTCACTTTTTCTTGCCATTTAATACCAAGGATGCGACGCAGGCATCTCATATGGAAGCTATTAAGCTTGCGCTCTTGGGATGTATAGGTGGTCCATGTCTCGCTCCCGTATAGTAGTGTACTGATGACACAAGCTCGATAGACGCACAGTTTGGTTTTCTCCGTTAGCTTGGTGTTTTGTCAGACCCGTTTATTTAGTTTAGCCATTGTGGCAGCTGCCTTGCCGATTCTGCTGTTAATTTCTTCTTCAATGGACAGTGTGTTGGAGACCTTGGACCCCAAGTAGGTGAAGCTGTCCACAACCTCCAAGTTTTCGTTATCGATTTTTATGTTAGGTGGAGGTCGAGTGTCTTGGGCCATGATGTTTGTCTTTTTCAAGCTGATTTGCAGACCAAATTCTTTGCAGGCATTGGAGAAGCTTGACACGAGTTGTTGCAAACCAATTTCTGTGTGTGCGGTTAGAGCCGCATCATCCGCAAATAGTAGCTCGCGAATTAGGACATCTGTCGTTTTGGTCTTGGCTCGGAGGCGGGCAGTGTTGAAAAGTCCTCCATCAGCTCTGGTGTGTAACCAGATTCCCTCACTGCTATCCTTGAAAGTGTATCGAAGTAATAATAATTATTACTAAGCTACAGATATGTCAGGAAGAAATAAATGAGAGACCACAACAGTGGCGATGCACGAAGTTTTGATACTGATCAGATATGCAACAAAGAAGTATGGCAGCTGTCCACAATACTGTCGACTTTGTCAAAGCCATAATTCAGCACTACGATGGTGTGCGTCGATACCTATTAAAAAACAGTATGACATGTGGTGTCTACAATGGGCTGTGCAGATTAAACAGATATGCTCAACACTCAAGTGGTAGATTACCGGGACAATGCAAAAGGGTTTTCGCCATCACAGCATCTATGTATTTTAATCAAGTACCTGTTTTTGGAATCACTCCCCTTGCTTTTGTTACTAGAGTTAAATTTCCCTTAATATGACGATGGAATGTTTTGAATGAAATTTTTATTGATTGTTTATTTATAATTTTATAATTTCATTGGTTGGGTAATTATAATATATAAATTTTCCGCCATATTTGAAAATATATTAGGCACTGATGGCATTGTATTTTATTTATTGTCTGGATATTCTTTTCAATGGAAATAAAGTTTTAAAAAGGTATTCCATGAATACTGTAAGTTGGGCTTTCATTATTTCATGACTATTTAGCATGTGTTTCGGCTGAAATTAGATAATGAAAAGGGCAGATTGCAGGTCGTTGACACATATCTAGAGGGATACAATAACGTAGCTACAAATTTATGTACCGGCTGAATTACATGAGCAAAGGGAGACACTGCAGATCATTAGCGCTCCTTGCCGCATATCTCAAAGGATACTATAAAGAAACTACCTTCACCACAAAATTTATGCACCGGCGGAATTTTTTCATTAAATTTTACACTGCCTCCATCTTGGTTGCCACGACCCAAGACATTTCATGTGTCGTGTCAACCAAGATGACAGCCATGGAAAACATCATGGCACATTCTCTTTGCATTTACCGATTACTCTTCATAGGCATAGGCCTAACTGATATTTTAATATTTGTTTACCCAAGTTTGTAAATTAATAATTAGGCCTATAATTCAAGTAGTGGCCTTTCCTAATTAAAGAGTGATTTAAATAAACTAAATGTCTACTTACCACAGCACTCAAGAAAGACAAATTATCTTTCAGTGATGGATCTAGAGCAAAAAGAAATGACCGTATTGCTGAAGTGCCTTTATTTTCTAAAGTTATGGATGTTACTGTTTTTACCAAGTGGGTGGCTATGTCAATTTTCCTCTCGACTTTGGAGTTCACAAGATTTTTATCGATTGAGTCTTGGTTCAGTTTACCAAACACCGATATAAGGAGGTGCAGTAGCAGTAGAGTTAGAACTCTAGTTTTCATGATAACCTTTGCCATCGCATTGAAAATTATCAATAACCGGCTGCAAATTTCACCGGCGAATCGTTTTCTTCCACGAGCAGAAGCCGGAAGTTTGAGTCGATCGCCGAGTTGGCAAGAAGCACTGCAAAAATCAAAAGTAAAATATGACGAATCTATTATTATTTAAAATTATTTATGTTTGCACATTATTAAAAAATGAATAAAAATAATTTATATCTACAATGTATTTCATTTCATCATTACTCATTCTTAGTGAATACAGTGATTCAGTGGGTACTTACTTAAACTTAAAACTAGATAATGAAATTAATCACTGTAACTTAGTGCAAACGAAACTGTAAAAAAGGCATATGTAAATTAAAAAGACAAATATTTATATTAATATATCGTGCGTGCATTGCTCTGTTCATTTTTAATGTATGTGCAACTTTTTGTACCAGAAAAAATATTTATACATTGAAACGTTAATTCTAAGGAAGTCAATCAACTTTTTAAAAATTAAAATGGCGGGAGCAGAGGGTGATAGAAACCGTTCACTGAAAGAAATAATTTACGATAGTCTCAATGCCATTCTGTCTCCTGATCTATTAACGCGGTCAGGTGGTGAAGATCAGATTAAAGCATTGGAAGTAACCGAAGGTCTTTACTTGATGTAACTTTATTTATTTCTAACTACTTGAAAAATTATTGCAGGCATAACCACTCTTACTCTTATAAACTTAAAACTGTTTACAATACAATCATATGTAATCTACCACTTGAGCGTCGGCCAAGAAAAAATACAGTTTTTCCGCTTTGAAGGGATATATAAACAACTATTCTTACATTGGATTCTGTTAATATTTTTGCTTCCGTATAGAGGCTATAAAGTTATATAGCACAATACTAATACATTTAAGGCAGTGTCTACACGTCCGACACGCCGGACGTATATCTCCCCCACTATTTGTCCGGCGACCAAGTCACATGACCGCCGTAACAAAGTGGCGAGAGATATCTTGTCGGTCAGCCTTGTCACGTTGACTGCGAATGATTCAAAACTATTATTAATTTTAAAATCTATTTCTCTACCAAGTAATGTACTGAGTATCTTGGATGCAAATAATAGAAAAAAACTTAAGTGAAAGTGGCTTGTAAACATTTTTGTTTAGTTTGTTATTTGAGTTTGTGTACCAGTAATCCATAAAATAAATTAGGGGCCAGTATGGAGTAGGCAACCAATAAAAGTAAAAGATTTCATTTTAAATTGCTACAAAATATTTAAAAACTTCTCATGAAACTACTGTTGCTGATGAACAAGATAATATAAATATTTAAAATATTTTTAATTAAAATGGGAAGAAAAAAAAACGATCCCCAGTATTGATCCTCAAATCATAATAACGCCAAGCATCCACTCTACCATTAGACCACACAAGATCTACCAAACTGCACTTCGTTCGGAATTATAAAAACTACTAGCCGTCCGGCGATCACGTGACATGCCGCCGGACGTATATCTTGCGCACTATTTTCCGGCGCGCCGGACTTGTAGACACTTCGTACATTTAAATACTTATTACTGCCAAGCTACCGATATGCCAGGAAGAAAAAGAGACAACGGTAAATTTTAAGGACAAATGCCACATTTGTATCGAATGTCACGAATGATGACCAATGTATCCCTAAATCGATCCCTATGCCTAACCTGAACCCTAAATCGATACCTATGCCTAACTCTAACCCTAAATCGATCTCTATGCCTAACCTGAACCCTAAATCGATCCCTCAACCTAACCTAAACCCTAATTCACTGCAACTATAATAAACACACAGAAGACGCTGTGGCATCCCTCCTTAATATCAGCCGAGGCAACAATTATTTTTTTTGATCCAGATGACGCGGATGTCCACACACAGAATGTGGAAAACGTGAATGCTCAGAAAGCATAAACTGAAAAGACAATTTGGCACAAGAAGTGCCGGTGATTTTTCCCCTTCATATTTACATGGATTCATGTACCACAACCGTTTTCGTGGAAATTATATTTTTGTAAACTTCATGTCATTGTCAACTTGGGGGATAACTATGCATAATTCCATTTTCACACATTATCTTCTATTTCAAAAAAATTGTTATAGTTTTTCTATTTTAAAAAAATGTCTATTATTATGGGAATGAATACGTACAACCAATGTCATTAAAAATAATATAAGAATAGTTGTTTAAATAGCCCTTCCAACCGGAACAGCTGGATTTTTTCTTGGCCGACGCTCAAGTGGTAGATTACCCAATCATAGTAGGTACTTGAATACAAAATTTTAAAAAATTTAAATACTTTTTTAATAACACAGTTAGTTAGAGCTAATTTCGGTAAATTTTAAGGACGAATGCCACATTTTTATTGAATTTCACGAATGTATCCCTAAATCTATCCCTATGCCTAACCTGAACCCTAAATCGATCCCTATGCCTAACCCTAAATCGATCCCTATGCCTAATCTGAACCCTAAATCGATCCCTCAACCTAACCTAAACCCTAATTCACTGCAACTATAATAAACATAATATTTCCTAAGTATCGGCAACTTCTGCCATTAAAAAGGGGGCGTGCCCCCCCACCCCATGGAGAAATCAGGTTGAGGGAACTACATGACCTGCTGCGAACCCGTAGAAACGTGGCATCTCTCGTAAAACACATATTGCTGTGAAAATTGGCATACATTCCCCAGATGCAAAAAAAATTTGGTAGTGACAAATCTTCTACTTCGACTTAATTTTAATGATGAAAGTTGCCTTTTATTTACCAAGGATTTTCTCAAAGCTGACCGATTGTAAATGAAAAAGAAATTGATTAAAATATAGGCCAAGATGTCCTCTAAAGCGAAAGGCCGGAAAAGGAACACAATTCTGGGATATAGTAATTATTTTATGAATGAAATAGTTCCACTATCAAAAAATTAAAAACTCGGATTTTCGCGCGCCAATAGTTCCACTATCAAAAAATTAAAAACTCAGATTTTTGCGCGCCGACGCCTATTTCCCATACAAATATTTTAATAGACTCCCTTGCTTCATCGAAGTCCCTAATACAATGTAACTGATACTAACTTATTAATATTAATAACTGAAAGTTAAACTAAAAAGAGACTGAGACGTGAGGAGTTTGTTGAGACACACAGTGACAGACACTGTCAACGTTGACAAAGTCCAACTTACAAAGACTTACTGTTAACTTTAAATTCTTAGCCTTGCCTTGGGGTTCTTTCTTAGGCCACTTCCTAGAGTAGGTACTTAGACTTAGATAAAACTAAAAAAGTATTAATTATTGCAGTTGACAATTGTATTTTACTTCAGTCACAGAATAGCGCTGTCGGTTATGGAAAAAAATCATGTTTTTCCTTGTGCAAGTGCTATTTAAATGGTTATTCTGTAAATTTAGGCTATCCGCGCCATGACGTTTTACATAGCAGCCACCTTGGTTACCACGACCCATGAAAATATTGAAAAGTCACTGTTCATGACAACCAAGGTGACGGCAGTAATAAAAAAAGGTGCACAATTCTTTTTTTTAAATAGCCACACCCAAAAGCTGTCAAAACTTTGGGTCAGCTAAAGTTCATGCACGAGGAAAGATGACGCAAATGTGTAGTCTACATAACAATAAAAATAATTTTAAAATAATCAGAACCCAAATAACAGTTTGATAATTTTATGCGGCTAAAACTACTGGATGCTGTGGGGACAATAACATTTATTTTTTAATCAAAAATATTCACTCTTTAAAAAAGAAAGGATTTTTTTAAAATAATCATAATTAGGAACTAATTAAAATGACAAGGAAAAATATCGAAGTAATGATTTAAAATACACAAATTTTAAAGACCCTCGATTATTAGTATATTAAAAGCAGCATATTGCGAAGACTTATTAAACATGAAAGAAGAGAAGAAAAAAAGTGGGCATCGCCTCCATTCTAAATTAAAAACAGTAGGTTTATCTACTAGCCTTTAAGTCTATAAATATGAATTTTTTTTAAATGATCCGAAGATAGCATTGTTTTATTATAACTAGAATATATTTCAAAGAGAAAAAGAACCAGTTAAATTAATAGATGCTATTCATTGGAGATGCACATCAATGACCTCTCTATTGCTATTTATGAATAATCACAGATTTTTAAACTCATTTTCAGAATTTGGTGTGTATTTAGCAGAAATTACAGTTGACACCCAAGGACCTCTAGCCATTCGTCAGTTGGCATCTGTATTGCTGAAGCAGTATGTACAATGTCATTGGTCCCAGCAGTCAGAAAAGTTTATCTCTCCGGAGACAACAGATGCTGTAAGTCATACAAAATAGAAGTTGACATTAATGAGCTAAAATAAAGTTATACCATTTCTCATTGTTAAAATGGGAATTAATAATTTAGTATTTTTAAAATAAAAATACATTAACTCACAACCATAATAAATGGCAGGCATGGGACTAACTTGTTATAATATTTACCCTTATTAAGTTTGCTGAAGAATTACACTAAATTAGGGATGTGCCTCATGATAATTTGCTAGGAAAATAGAGTTCTAGACATAACTTGAAAAAAAATGTAAGACCTAAACAGGGGAATCATTCTTAAGTTTTCTGTGATTATTATTATTTCAGTTTGCCAATTTTTCACTGAATTCACTGTGATTGTGAATTCTCAAAGGCTTTTACAGATAATCATTCACAATTTGTACATTTTACGAAAACATTTAATCTAGACCCACAAAAGGTCTTGTGCGCCACACTAAACATTTCAGCAGGCCACTTTAGTGGCTCATGGGCTGCAGGTTGCCCACACCTGCTCTAGATGCTATCCATAATCTTAACAACCACTAAATTTTGTATTGATCTTACTGTCAGAATGCAAGATGCAGTATCTTGCATATGCTGATGATATAGCACTTCTAGGGAAAAGTATTAAAGACATATCAAAATCCTTTATTGAATTAGAAGACGCATCTCTACAATCAGGGCTGGAAGTTAACAACCAAAAGTCAAAATACATGACAATGATAAGAGAATAACAAACAGATGAAGCAATTAAAATTAGAAACCAGATTTTTGAAAAAGTAAATCAATTCAAATACCTAGGTTCCTTGTTAAATGAAAGAAACGAATTACTAACAGAAATAAAAGAAAGAATATCAGCCGGAAATAGGGCATACTTCAGTAGTAAAAAAATACTCAAAAGTAAAAACATTACAAGAGAAGCAAAGAAAACTACTTATAAAACTGTAAATAGACCAGTTGTAACATATGCAAGTGAAACCTGGACCCTAACAAAAACAGCAGAAAACCTATTAAAC